AGTAAAAAAAATGACACAAACAAATCTTATAAAAGTTTTCTATCGTCAGGATCACTCTCAATCTCAATCTCAGGCCGACGTTGCTGCCGTCGATTTCTCCGCCGTTCACGCGCCTCCGTACCACCAAATTTCAACCTTCCCGTTTCCTTAAACCTATCTTTCTCAGCCGGAACAATCACACACTCCGGCAGAGGCTCAGGATACCTAAGTGTATCATAACAGTAAGAATAGTACATAAAACGTTGTCGAAATCTTCGCATGGCAGCGCGTTGATGAGAATTAATGGAAGAGTAATCTTGAGACTCAAGAAAATCAACGGAGTCGGAACAATCCACGGGAACTTCTTGAATAGGATCAACGGAGCAACCATCAAGAGAGAAAGATTTGAATTCGGCTACGAAAGGGGCAAATTTGTAATTAGCTTTGTATTTGCCGCCGGAAGTAGCCCAATCGGAAGCATCCCAAATGGTGGCGTAAAGAGCCATTGGCTTCGCCGGATAATCTGCTCCCATTGCATCGTTTCTTATTACTTCTCTTATTGGCACATCATCTACCCAAAATCTGTAATAATTGTTATACAAGTTAGGTTAATGAGGTTGTTAATGACAAAAATAACATACTCCCTCCGTTCTTTTATAAGTGATGTTTTAGGAGAATACACATCGATTAAGAAATCATTTAATTTTTGTTTATTTCTAAACTAAAACATCATTTATTATCTAATCAACCAATAAAAAAACAATCTACAGAATATAAATAGTCAAAACCAATAAAAAAATAATTAATTTTGCATTGAAAACTAAAAACATCATATTTTTAAGAACAAAATAAAAAGCTTAAAACATCACTTATTAAAGAACGGAGGGAGTAAATAAAACCAAAAATATATAGAATTTCTCAGTTGTTGATGAAAAAGATAATAATAATAAACAAAAATTAACTAGATAAAGGAAATTTAAGCTGATTATTTTAACTAATGTTTTATTTAAATATTAAAAATGAGTTAATAAAGATAGATGTATAGTTTAATTACGCAATGCATTAATCTTCAATACTCAATAGAGTAGTACTTAATTGCCACTCGAGGCCTAAGTTGATTCTCATTGATTAAAGTTTAACTCATTTCTTTATTTATTCTATTATTCAAACAAAATTATGATTAACGTTTCTCCATCCTTTAATTTTTAAAACGAAGGTCAATAGAAAGTCAGAGATCTTTAAATTAATACGCGTGACGACTGAGGCTTAATACACGATTACGCGTCAAAAAAGATAACTCTAAAGCTGATGTTTAACAATAATGACGAATTAATTGCATTGAAAAAGCTGACTCCTTATCGATTTTTTAAAATTTTAAATCAAATAAAAAAAGATGAAAAAGTAATTAGAAAACTGTATTTTAGAAAAAAAGAGCAAATATTGTATAGATTCATTAACTATCGTAGGAAAAAAGTACAGAAACGTTCAGTGAAAGACAAACATTCTTTCTTCGTCCCACCAAATTTTAATATATTGATAAACCGGGTTTGGTCAACGCTAATGAAACAACTAAACCGGGAAAAAAATTAGAAAAAGAAATGAACGGGACTGAAGAAAGCTTACATGATCTTGTGAGGAGTCCAGAGAATGCTATAACGATGAAACTCTTTAGAAGGATCAAACCAAAGACGATATCTCTCTTCACGACCTCTATGTGTACTTCCATTTCCGTATAGATTTGTCTGAAACCTCCATGGCTTTCCTTTTATGTTCCCTAGAAACTCTATGTCTAATTCGTCGTGTGTTTTCTCGAACACGTCCCCGTTTGATGTCTGCAAAATCAAAATATATTTATTTTTCCATTTAACATAAAATTAGATCAGATTGGTGCTCTTTTTCTTGGGAAACATAGAACCATTTTCTTGGGAAAATTAATGACTATTTTCTAGGCAACCAAACAGGAAAAATTGTGACATGGGTTCTTCGACAAAACGTTTGGTATTTACGATTTTCTCGGCCAAAAAGAATAAAGACTTTGAATTAGATCAAATGAGTTATTAGTTCATGATTTTTTTCAAGAAAAATAATGAATTTTTTTGGCAAATAATTAAATAAAGAAAAGACTTAAACGTTCATGCAGATGGATGAAAGAAAAAGAAAAAAAAAACATTTTTTGGTAATCAAACATAAAAAAAAAAAGTAAATGGCCGGAGACTTACATAAAAGGCGACGACGACACCGGCGGTATAATCAGCGGGAAGCTTGATCATGGAGCTGTAAAATCCATGTTGATACATATTCGATGATATAAAACCAGAACCTACAAATATAATCATCATCATGACATCATCATCATCATCATTAAGAAAAAAAGATAAAACCCATGTGAATATATATATAGGTGTATATACCGGTATATCGATCGAGGAGGAGACGAACGGAGAGATCATCAGGAGAACGGACGAGATTGGCATCGCCAAAGAGAGGAGAAAGTGATTCTTCAAAGCTTAAGGTGTTGAGATTCGTGAAGGCTAATGATGATCTCAAACCCAAACCCAAGATCAAGATGATGATGAAGAAGATGTTATTATTATACGATGATTTAGACATTCTTTCTGGGAAGGAAAAAAAAAAAAAGATTTATGATTTGTGTTTATTGATTACATATATCTTTTGACATAAGAGAGAGAGGTTTTTCTTTTGGTGTGGGGAGAAAATTGCTCTTTGGCTTCCACGCTCGTGGTGTTTATATAAGGGAGAGTTATTCAATACTCTTTTTCTTCTTCATCTTTATTTTCCAATTTTACCCTCTTTTTTTTTAATTTAGTCTGCCACGGTTTTGCAGCTGTTTATTGTATGTGTGTGTAGAAGTAATAAAGTAATGAGTATATAACGATGATCGATCAAGAAAAATCCAACCGATTTGGATCAAACTGAAAAGAAGAAAAAAAAAAAACTGATTGATTCAAATATGAATCAAAATATAATGTATGTTCTTGTATCATTTAGTTTATCTGAAAAGCTTGTAACAATAAAATATCTAAGCTTTCGATCGTTCTTCAAATGATATAGTCGATCACAAAAAGTTAATGAGTTTAATATGGTTTGAGGCACAAGATTCAAAATTTGTGTCTTTGGAATTCTATCACTGGATGCCCTAACTAATTATCAAGATGTTCGATTCCATATAGATGTTTTGGGTAAGGGAGACATACCCCTCTCCAGTTTAAAATCCTTCTAGTAGAGAGAAATTGAGATGATTCTTATGGATGTGAGAAAAAAATGGAGAAGCCTAATTGAATTTTGAGTAGATGACAATATAATTTATGAACTATGACACCATAAAAAAAACATTTAAGTGTTTCTAAGAAAACCTAAGTAATTTGAAAATTTTGAAATTGTGTTTAGTAGATTATTACGTGTATAGGTAATTTGGCAAAACATGTCTTTAAATGGTTTTCTTTTTTTTAGCTATACATATCCAATTAAAGTAAAATTAGCATGTGACAAAAAAAGAAGAATATAGAGTAATATTAGCTGATACATATATAGTTGGTATACTCTATGTATTTACGTGTAAATCAAAGGGTAGATATGTCATTTTGAATGATGAAAGCCAAAATGAATAAAAATGACAACTAAGCATGAAATGGACACCAAAGGGTCTTTATCTGTATACCCATGCAGATTGTATATAATCCACCAGTCATCCTCATCATTAAATATAATTAATCATATAAATACATATTTTACGAGTAGGTGTTCAAATTAGGTGGTTACACTAATCAACACTTTAAATTAATAAAAAGGTATAGATTCCAAAACGATGGACAGCCAAACGTAAAAATTTCGAAAGACTCTTTTGTTCTTTAATTAGTTATATGTTACTCTTCATAAAATCAAGAACAGATTCGGTAGTGTTGTCAATATAAGATAGACAACGAATTAACATAACATTGTATTAATTAGTTTTGTAGTGAAACATTATGTTTTAGTAGATGTATATATTTAAGCATTTAATTAACTTTTAGTCAAACTGTCCCTTTCTTTTAGTTAGCACCAGATACCAAATCGCCGTATCATCCAACTAATCATAATATAAGTAGTTGTTTCGATATTTATATATATATTCAACGAGCTCACTTTTGAATAATTCAGAAGCCGTAAATTAAACTAAGATCGAATAACCTAAAATGAATTACCGAATCTTGACAAAATAAGTTCATCGTTTAAGAAGCAAAAGTGTTACGATCAGACTTCATTTCAATTAACCCTTCTGGATTTACCAACTCTTCAACACAAATAAAAGTTTAAATAATCTTTTCTCAGTTGGTCGACAGAAATATTTGACATATATGATATTTACTCAGTTGGTCGACAGAAATATTTAACATATATGATATTTTGCGAAGAGGGCCGCTATATGTAAAAGTGTAGTTGCCGTCAAAAAACAAATCACAAGTAAAAGTGTATTTAGTTGTTTTGGTTTACCAACCTCTCTAACCTCTATGCATGCATCTGGTCATCAACTTATATATGCAAAGTAATTGAAGGACCAAACTATTTAATCACGGATTTGTTATTCTAATTGTCTAATGATTATTTGTGTATAAAAACTCATAAATTGTTATAGTAGAAATATGTTTTCGTGGTATCATTTAATCTTAGAAAAGTGGATTTAGCTAGGAGGTGAATGAATGATAAGGTGGTTCTTTATTACGTACAATTTATATTTTTTTATTGTGTAGAATGTACATATAGTTGAATCATTTTCTAAAAACAGTATATCATTTGCATTAAACAATTAATTTATCCGATCATTTTCTATATTGAAAAATATATATCAAAGTAAAGCACATATATTCTTACTAATTAATATATAGAATATCTTTTTTGTCAACTAATAAAATATAAAATTTGGAGGCTAAAGAAGTCGATAAAAACTCTCTCTTCTCTCTCTTCTCTCTCCCTTCTCTCTAGGTTTCCAATTTCATTTCCGTTTGCCTCTCCGGCTTGCCCTTCCGGCGCCGGAGAGGGCTCTCTTCGTCTGTAGCTCGCTCTAGTTTCGCTTCCCTCCCGTCGGTGTGCCTTTCTTCCTCGGTGTAGTTGTCCCCCGTGACAGATCTGAGCTTTTGATGGTGGTTCCGGACTTTGTGGTGGCGCGTGAAGCGAAGAGGAGCTGTTGTGTGGCCGTTGGGGTCGCGTTGGTTCGGTTGCTTGAGGACGGCGCCGATCTGGTTGTGATTTCCGGCGGATCTAGGTTGGCTCCTTTTCGTGTGTTGGTCACTTTCCGGTGGTTGGTTGGCTTTGAAGAGTTTGGGGCTTGGGCTATTCTGCGGTTTAGCTTCTGTGGTCGGATCCGGTGGTTTGGTTGCTGGATCTTTCACCTCTCCCCTTCAGCTGTGACGGTTGCTTCGCCGGTGTGTAAGTTTTGGTTTCGTTTGGCGGGTGTGGCTTGGGATTGTTCTTATTTCAGGTCTTGGATTTGCTTTGGGCGCAGCGGTGAGCTAGCTCCACCTCCGACTGTGGAGATGGATCTCCCTCTTCCTTAAGATGAAACGGCGGCTCCGATTAAGTGGGCGTGTGGTGGATTTGGTCGAGACCTGGTAGAGGACGCCAGTGTGCTCGTCGTCGTATCTACGCGCGGCTCAACCACCCGATTGGTTGCCGTTGGTGCGGCGGAAGTCTGGGGAGGAAGGTGGGTTTTGCTCTTGTCCGTTGATTAACTGATCGATCCCTTGGGATCATGAAGGCTTGCGTGGGGCACTGGTTTGTGTTCGTTGGTGTGAGCAACCAACTACTCAAACTGGCACGATTTGGTTTTCACGGACATGACATTTAGGAACCCTAGCTCGGAAAAATTCTCTGGTCGCCGATAATGGAAATTGGGGTTACATCTGAGTACTTTGGATTGCTAGGTATGGGATCCGACTTCGTGGAGCCTTTAAAGTCGGAATCTTGAGCAACTCGGGGAATCCGTAGTGGGTCAGGTGTTTCGCCGGAGTGGTGACAGGGCTTGAAACCGGAAGCTTCCTCCTTGTCATCCGCTTCTGGTGCTTCATCGCAAAACCGTGGATTCTGTTTCCGCCGGGATAGTTGCTCGGAGATGCTGCTTTAGGTCTATCAGCAGGGATGAGATCCAGTTTCTGTTATTGGGCCGATAGAGTGTTTTTCAGTTTTTGTAACTGTGTCCCTTTTGTAAATTTTCAAGGCTCAGCCCTTTATGGGATTGCCCTTTATTAATATTAATATAATTTATTTTTTAAAAAAAAAAAAAAAAAAAAAAAAAAAAAAAAATTTGGAGGCTAAATTTAATTTCCATAGTACTATTACGAAGGAAGCAATCTTTCTTTTTCTTTTTGCCTTTTCTCTTTTCTTTGAGAGACAGAGAGTGATTCCATTACCATCTGTACACACAATCACTAATGGCCCGCAGTGTTCAATTGTCTGCTAGCTTCTGCACTCAGCTAACAAATAAAGATAAACGTTACATATGTTTCTTTGTTTATTTTGACATTATCCATTAGAATATTCTTATAGATAATTGTTTCATAAACTTGATGCATATTTCTTTTCTTTTTAAAAATTAAAACATGAATCAAATTTTTTAACTTATACATCGGACATAATTAAGGTATAATGTGGTTTTCGTAATTTCTTTAGTGAAGGCATTAGTCCAAGATGATTGAATCCTTAGTTAATTTACCTTAGGTCATCTTATAAATTAATTAACTTACTTTTCGAAAACATGTCAATGATTAGTTTGGGTACAATTACATCAAATTTTAAAATATAGAGATTACTTGTTGTCATAAAAAGAGAAAAAAAGAGATTATTCATTTTACATTCAATTGGTTCATAGGAGTTGTTAAAATGGTTCGAAACTCTTTCCAAACTATTTGACGTCCGTTTTCCAAACTAAGTTATATATTATATTTCTTTTTTTCAAAGTATATACATAAAAACTTATACCAAAAGTTATTCTATCGAGCGAACAATGGAAAAAAGAAAGACATCGAAGTGATGACAAGAATCGCAACAACGAGGAATTTATGAAGTGGAAAGATAGGGATGGAAAAAAACTTACAAAACGGAATATATAAAAATAAAATTCTTTTGGTAAGCTGCAATGTTTTTAAAAAATGTGTTTTTTTCTGTCTAAATTCATTAAGAACATAATAAAATTTGGTTTATCTGTCATTTTAAATTATAGAGATGCTAAATTTACAAAGAAAACCACAATTGTATTCCAAAACATTCACCGGCTAATAACAAACAAAAACATGTATACGTATATACACAAACGGGTCAAATAGGGAACTAAAAAAAAGGTCTAGATTCAGCAATCATCAACCAATTAGAGAAGAATAAGAAAGTCTTTAAGGTATTGAATAAGGTAGAAACTCAACTGCATCATCTTCTAGAGAGGGTTGACCTTTATACAAGAGCATTTGCATGTGGATTTCATTATTACTAGTGAAAAGAGTTTACTTAGAATATTTAAACTCCACTATTACACTTATGTTATTTTAAACTGAAAACTAATAATTGAATAATCTATGTTTCAGGTTTTAGCTCTATGTAGTCTTAAAGAAAACAATGAGGATTTTAGATAATTGTTATTTTGGATTGTGAATATTTTAGTATATAGAAGAGTTTATGATTATCTACTCAATATCAGTTTATGTATATATACATAAATCGATTTTAGAGATGACTTAAAAGTGAAGCTAGGAACATTATCTATTCGAAGATGCTTATTATAATATGTAACTCACTAGGGTCTTGATCCATATTATATAGTACAAACATATATCCACATTACAATAATTGAGGATGTTCTTCTCTAACAAAATTATTGGAAAATGATATTTAACCAATAATAATAATGTGGTTACAACCTTACAACCTTACAACACACAAGACATGACTAAATTGGTTACGAGAAGTGCATATGGTGGGGTATGTCATGTAATCATCTCCATACTTATTTGTGGGAAAAATATATACATACACAATGGATAATGATAATGTTTTTAAGATTAATTATTATGCAAGTTTTGTGCGCTTGTGGTACCGTGTCCAAGTTGATATACTAATGATTTTCATTACAAAAAGTTCAATTTATTTAAATCGTAAAACGTATATTAATGGGTTTTGAAACCACTTGAATACTTTAATTTAACCACACGATAAAAATTGAGATATTAGAGAAGAAAACACTGCAATGATTTACGCTCTTTTTGCATATACGTAAAGATTTGAAATTTGAGCTAATATGCTTGATTTGAATCTAAAGTTTTGAAGTGTAGATTATTACATTTTACGAATAGTAGTTGCTACCAATTTCACATGAGAGATTTAACATTTACATATTCACTACTCTCAAAAAGTACAAATGTCAAGGAGGACTAAACTCAAGCCTTGAGAAAATGGTATTTGGATTCAACGTAGCTCTCTGAATCCCATAAGAAAGACCCAAAAGCCACAGCCTCCAAAACCAACATCGCAAGTCCTGAGACACTCAGAGACAGAACCTCGTCGTTAGAAGTATCAAGCTTACCGTCCTCGAGTATTCTTATATCCGGTCGCCCAAAGAGCGCTTGCGTCTGCTTCTCAATCAGAGTCATGGCTTCTTTAGAACGTATCGTGGCATATCTCTGAAGCGTATCTGAGTCCAAGTATGTAACGTATGATCTCAATCCATAAGATGATGACTCATCTTCATTTCTTTGTATCGCGTATTCATCGGGATCATATTCCTCTGGTTGGATCCTGATCAAGGAATCCGGATCCCATAACGGGTAAGGAGGCGAGGGTTCTTCGAATCGTTCTCTGGTTTTCTCAGGCCGTTTCGGAAGTGTATTCATGGTTCTCTCAAGTTGGTATCTTTGGTCTACTCTTCTGAGGAAATAGCCATACATCGCAGAAGCAGCGTAGAGTTTTCCGAGTTTGATTTTGCCTATCTGAACTATAGAGCTTAAAGGACCAACCGCTGTTCGGTCTCCAAGAACTGAAGACAAGTGACTCTGTATCATCTCGAACGCATCCGCAGAGTGGATGACTTCGAGCTTCTCTTCTTGGTTCGGCCATAAGTCTACCCGTCCAGCTGGGTCCGAAGTTGGTTTAATCTTAGGAATCATAGAGATTCCTTTTTCCACAAACCTTTGTACCACTAAACAGTAAATGATCTCCGCTAATGTTTTACGTCTTTCCTTATCTCTAACTTCAGATATCCTCCTGCAAATCAAGCGCACAACGACATCTTGGTAAGAGAATGAAATCGAATAAAGCCTACACGTAGACTCGACCAATACAAAATCCAAGCCTAGATTCTCTCTGCTTAAAAATAGCAAGAGACTTATAGCCAAATCACAGTAAGTTGTTATGTATCATTAGTGTGATATATCAATAGAAGCTGGTGAAAACATCTCACTCAAGAGTTAGTTAGAGAGAATGTTTTCAGTGGCATTTAAGCGATATAAAGGATCTGAAACCGGTCATGCTAGTGAATTTGAAATAGAGTCAAGCCTATACGTAGACTCGACCAATACGGTATCTAAGCCTAAGGTTCTGTACTTAAGCATTGCAAGAGACTTAAACTCCCAAAAATTTCAGTAATTTGGTGATATGATCTCACTCAAAACCAGTAATATGTCGAAGCAAAAGACTTACTTTTGGAGAATGTCTTGTGTAGCAGACGAATCGGCTTTAAGAGCCTCGTTTTCTGCGGTGAATTTCTGGAGCTGCTCATCGACAGTAACGGGTAAGAGATGAGGATGAGTTCTAAGAATCTGCTCCAAAAGCTGTCCAACAGGAGATTCAAGCTCAACAGGAGCAAGAGGAGCAAAGTTCTCATTAGAATCTTCATCTCCTGAAGCTCTCACTGTCACACTTCTTCCTCGACCATTCTCATTGGTACTACTTCCAAGCTTGGGGATACAAAACGAATGGCATCTCTGTAAATTTAACAACGAAGCCACAAGAAAACTGGAATCAAATCGATTCTATAATAAAGCGTTTGAGAGAATTAAACCTAACCTAATAAAGATTGAAGTAGAGATTATGTGTATCATTCAATTTTCGCAGCGAATTTTCTCGGGAAATGAGAATTGTACCTGAGGGAGAAGGGAAGGAGAAGAAGAAGGAGAGAGGAACTTGGAGAAGGAATCGGAGAGATAATGGTTGAAGCAGAGCCTCCTGCCATGGCTGCTGCCGATGGCTTGCATTTTTTGATATTTCGAAAAGTATTTCCAAAGATGAGAAGAAGACTACGAAATTGTGGCTCAGGTTAATGTCACAGAGTCATCAAAAAAAAAACGCATATAATAATTAAATAAAAAGTGTTTCAAAATATTAGACAAACGAAAATAATATTTTCTTGAAACTACAAAAATTTATTTCGTAAAAAATATCTTAGATAAATTAACCGAAAAAGAAATTTATGTGAATTATCTTGAAATTCTGTATACCTTTGGGAAATATTTATATACCAAATAATTGGACAAAAAAATATTGAAAATAGCCTAAATTTTTAACAGCAAAATTAGATAATAATTTAAAAATTAGTAAACTACAGTCTTATAATTACACTTGTACAAAAAAAATATAAAAATTACACCTACAAACCTTAAACCCTTTTAACCCTTAAACCTATATTTTCAACCTTCAATCCTAAAAACATATTATTTAGAAGCAAAAACTATAGTGTAATTCTATTTTTTATATGTAGTAGACTTCTCTAGATTATTGTTATTATCCTAAAATTTTATTTTCCATTACAGAAAATTGGAATATTGACTTAGAAAGATATTACACAAAATCCACACTAACATAAACCAAATAACATTAAACATTTCTACAAACAACGGTTTCTAAAGATGAGCATTATAGCGTTTGCGTTTCTCTCTATTCGACCCAAACGCAATCGCTATATACTCAATGCGTCTAGAGTTCATTTTTCCGAGACAAAAAGTCCAAAATCTGGACAAAAAAAATATATACACATTTTGTTAAAGAAGTAACTCTTTTTTCCCTAATTAAACGAACCATTAAGCTTAAACACTAAAGAAACCACACCAAATCTGGTTTCTAAAATTACGTAGATCTGTTAGCTGCTGTTCTTGAGTCAAGCTGAGTTGTGGAAGGAACCAGGAGTGGTCTAAGCAACATCTTGACGTGTACTTCTCTGTGGTTCTTGCTCGTTCTTGTCCAAGTCTCCTCCTTCCAGAGACGGGACTGACGAACACTTATTCTGCAAGAACGGGTATGAGAGAAAATATGAACTTTCAATCTATGTTCAAGCAAATTATAGATGTGTTAGAAGAAGATTTTATTGTAATTTACCTTGAGAGAGCTATTTTCAGCGAGAAGCTCTTCATATTGGCTTTTGAGCTTGTTAATTTCTGCTCTAAGACTTGAGTTTTCTCCATTCAAAACCTCTGCTCGTTGTGCTAGCTCATCACATTCCGCCTGAACACAGAAAATAAAAGGCTTTTTGATCATTCATATCGATTGATGGGCATGATGCTGGAGCGGTTTGAAAGGAAAAGCTTGATCATTCATACTCGATAGGCATGATGAAATATGTATAGGTTACCTGTTTACGCAACCTGGATCTACGAGCAGACTCCCTATTGGATTGCTTCCGTCTCTGTCGCTTAAGCTCTCTCTCATCCTGAATTCACAAAACAATCAAACACACTGCTTGAATCACTGTACAGGTGAAGTAAGAAGAGGATATACTTACACAAACCTGTAACCATGGCTGTGATTGAGACCCATCTACTACAACTCCAGGAACTGCTGCAGATACATTCCCATGACCGCTCCAATAATCCATTCCGATGTTTAGATTTGTTGGTGGGCCTGGAACACCTGTAGCCGACACTGGCATGATAGCGACGGTCTGGTTCACCGGTAGATTACTTCCATTACGGGGTGGTCCATGAGCAGAACCACCACTCTCTGAAGCTGTTTCACCTTGAAATATGAAACAAGAAAGAGCAATCTCTAAATAAGCAGATTCTACCATTTAGGTCATTACATGTTAACAGATGAGAACTAAAAAGCTATATTAGCTAACCATTCTTCCCGTTGTGTCTAGAGCCAGAGTCCTACAAAAATCAATACCATGATCATATTCATATATGCTCCTTATTTTCCAAATGAAATCCAACGCAATGATTTATAATGGATTGATGGAAACTTACGTTTTGTGAATTTGCATCACTTCCGTCACTTGATCCATCAGAAGCGCTCTCAGCACTGTTAAACCGAGAACAAATCAGACAATTTCAACAAATTTATTCAATAACCATAGATAGCAATCATAAGTATTCAGTATGCCAACACGATTTCGATTTTCATACAAATATGAAGTCACTTGCCTTTTAGAACAAGCTCCATTAGCTGATGCTCCTGAGTTTTTTCCAGCTTCATTGTTCTTTCCTATAATCATATTCAAACTTCCCAAGCTTCCTTTTGATCTTTTGATTGGCAATTTTTCGTTCCCATCAGATGGTTTAGCATCACCCTCAACAACACTTCCAGTATTGCCCTGAATCCAAAACATTCCTCAAACAAGATCCCATCTGACCCAGACTACTCTAAATGAAAAAATGATAAAAGGGAAAACTCACAGAAGCTTCAGCCATTCCATTAGGAGAAGGCATTGCATAGGGACTATATGGATAAGACCCCTGTTGCAGCACGGAACATGTTAACAGAAACTACATAAACATTCACTATTTTGAGTAACATAACCGAAGATCCAAATTTTAACAGTACCGGAGGTAATGAAGGATGTGCATACATGCCACCTGGAGGATACATCGCAACATATGGATGAGGCGGTGTTCCATAAGGAGGCATCATATGCTACAAAAGAGAAATCACAATGTCTTAAGTTGATGTTACATCCATTAATGAGCACAATTGTTATGGAAAACCTAACGAACTATATATGGTAAAAAAAAATCTTGATTAAATCTACACAAGTGACCAAGATAATATATCCCAAGTACGCAAATAAATTTAGTAAAAGTCTTGTGACTCGTCAAGTAATCCCCTGAAGCTCAAAAGAATGTTTAAAACCATCTAAAAAACAACAATTCGATTTACCTGAACGCCCCACATATAAGGGTGAGGTTGAGGACTTGATGCTACGTAACCATGAGGCGGCATAGGAGAATAAGCCTGTTCAACAAGAAAAAACATGAGCCACATAAACGCAACAAAGAAACAAGAAAGACAGAATAATCTCGTATTAGACCTGGAAACCAGACCAATCTTGAGTAGCCACTCCAGCACTCACAGCAGAAGAAGGTTCCTACAATCACACAACATTAAACATCAAAGAAGACTAACACAACCACTTTGCTATACCAAATTTACACCAAATGCAAACCTGTGAAACAGCAGTAGCAGGAGCAGAAGAAGAAGACGAAGGCGGTGGAGTCTTAGGTTCTTTCTCTTTACCTGATTTTTCCATCTCACTGCTACCCATTAATCACATTCACCAACTTCTAAACAACTAGTGAACGCTTCACTGCTTATAAATAAAAACCTACCAAATACGAACAATCAGATTGTTACAAGACATGGGTCAAGATTTTCCCCAACTTAACATTGACCAATACAGTTCATAAGCATTTCAACTGATAAACCCAGAAGCTAAAAAGGTTACATTTTTATCTCAGGATGCAAATAAAAAACCTAGTTTTTAAGTTAATAATGCCAGAGAAGCCAATAAAGAGACAATAACACAAAATCTAAAGAACTAAACCGATTCCAGAATCTATGCAATGTAAGAAACTAGACTGTTATTGAATTCTTGTTCAAACGTAATTAAAACTATGGATCGGTGGAAGATTTACCTGAAGATCTGCAATGTTTGAACAATCTGAGCAAAAACAGAGAAGTGAAATGAATTTTAAAAAAAGCTTTGATTTTGCAGAAATTGGAGTGAGATTGAGAGAATCAAAAGAGGGAATTTTAGAGGTAGAAGTTTTTTGGTGTCGTGTTTCTGACGGGGAAGAGGACGAAGCTGCGTGGGCTTGACAGGGAATATACTATTTAAAGTTAAGCCCAAATCTTTATCTTATTTATGAAATTAACCCCGTAAAATCCCTCAATAACATTTTCGTACCCACATTTTAGATTATTTGTCCTATCAATTTTGTACACGTGAGTTTTGTTTTTTTTTCTCTTTTGCAAGCGTAATGTTGTTGAGTGTGCCTCGAAGAAACTTCAGAGTTTGGTGTCGGATCTAGGCTATCATTAAGATCTTAAGTATGTTTATAGGGATTCTTAATCATATGATGTTTGACAATTATTCGTTCTAATAAATCATATGATGTTTGACAATTAATCGTTCTTAATCATGTGTTGATTTATTTCAAAGGATGATCAAGCAGGGCCGGTCCAGTAAAATCTGGGGTCGAATACGAAGAAAAAAAATTGACGTCTTTTTAAAAAGTAAAAACTGCTAAAAAATATTTTTTTTAGTAATTATTGGGCATTTATAATTTTTATTTAACATTTTTTCTTAATTTTTGGACTTTGTTTGCTAATTATAGAACTTTTTTGCTATATGAGACATTTTTACTAATTATGAGACCTTTTTGTTAATTATGGAGCCTATTTACTAATTTTGAGGCCTATTTTATTAATTATGCAGCCTCGCAAAAAAAAGAAAAAAAAAATCCTCACAAAATGGGCCTTGAAAATTTGAGGTCCAATACAAATGTTTCACTAAAATGTGTGAAAAGCCGGGCCTGTGATCAAGTTATGTTACTTACTAACCTAGAGGCGACTTCTTTAGTTTTGACTCTAAATGACTTGGTTGTTTGCATCAGTAGATGCCTTGGATGAGAAGTTATGCTACTTACTAACCTTTGATTCTTGTTGGCTTTGAAAACCTATGAGGATAATGATAGGGCGATTAGAGATGAACTGGCACTGTTAGCTGTAGCGACTACGACATGTACAAATGTGTCTAGTGCATTTTTTTATAGCTTAAAACATATTTGCTTCTTGCGTAAGCAGAAGAGTCTGAGTCTATTATGTTGAGTGTTGATGATGAAATTATCAGATTTGCAAATTGCAACTATTTAACTTGATTCTGAAACCTAAGTGAGTTGTGAACTTTTGAGATCTTAATAAGAACCTCTCTTTACACGTCATTTTTTCATTGATATATTTGTTGTTTTACTATTAAAATTTAATTGTATAAAAAATTAAATTATTAATATTTTAATGTTTAGATATGGGGTTATAAACAGGGTCGACTCAAAAAATTATTGGGCCCTGTGCTATGTTGCAAATTTTTTTTACATGATTGTCTAAAGGTTTAACATTTAAAAAATTAGACCCTATTTTGTAATTATTTGAACATTTTGGACCCTAAAATACAAAGGAAAAATAAATAACGAAAAATAGGACCCTTTGCTCTTGCACACTCAGCACATCCCAAAAGCCGGGTCTGGTTATAAACCATCGGAGATGCTCTTACAAATCCACCACCTCCAAACCATGATTGACTCTATCATACCTAAGAGTTAAGAATCAGAAACTTATACATTTTTCTTCTTTCTTATCCTCAGTTTAGTTTCTTAGGATTTATAGATTAGAAAGAATATGCTACTTTTATCGTTATATATTTATGATCTGAAAGCATAAGATGGAAAAATAATCATGTATAGTTAGAAAAAAATTTCAATCTAAATACCTTTGTATGCTTTAAAAAACCACGAAACCAATTAGTCTCCCCCTTAAACTCGGGATCTTGAAACACATGTATAGAGTAACAACCGCTTGAAATTGTTTAAGTTAATTTGTTATATCAAGTATCAATAGTTCAACTCATAAAATATTTCAAGCAAAGCTTATAGGTCACTTGTTCGAGTAGCACTTAAATAGAAACAATTGTAAGTTACTCTTTTTCTTGATTGGTATCTTGGCTTGTTAAAAATATAGCAAGAATGATTTCATAAACAGAAGTTTCCATTTTACTAACTTAGTAAGAAAGTTTTTTGTTTTTCACAATCTAATATGGAGAACTATAAACCACATTTTTTAATGCAAAATAAACCAGATTAATCTTTATGAAAAATATGAGACGAAATAAAAAAAATCTTATTTTGTTAATAAAAATAAAAGAAAACCCTAGCTAGTGGTGAAGGCGTGTCTTCTGATGCACATATACAATCGTAAAAAAGAGTGGCAGGCGTGAAAGTTAACCCTAATTTTCGTTTTGAAAACAATGACGACGATGTCCGATCTTTCGCATGATTTGGTCGAAGAGATACTGTGTATGGTTCCGATAACTTCTCTAAGAGCAGTGAGATCCACGTGCAAACTATGGAACGTTTTATCCAAAACCCGGATTTTATGTAAAGCAGAAGCTAGAAATCAGTTTTTAGGGTTCACGATGATGAATCATAGGCTTTATTCGATGAGATTCAATCTCCATGGAATCGGCCTCAACGAAGACAGTGAAGAGTTCACTGATCCATCTATAAAGCCAATAGGTAATATACTTAATCAGGTCGAGATATCTAAAGTCTTTTATTGTGAAGGTTTATTGTTATGCGTCACAAGGAACCACTCAAGCAAGCTCGTAGTTTGGAACCCCTATTTGGGAGAAACTAGGTGGATCCAACCTAGCAGCGATTACTACACAGGCGTTACGTATGCTCTAGGATACGACAACAACAAGAACCACAAGATCTTGAGTTTTTTCGCTGGAGAAGGCTACTACGAAATCTACGATTTGAAGTCTAATTCATGGAGTTTTTCTTATGTCATTCCCAAAAAGGGGTTAAAATGTTATCAGCCCGGCGCGTCGTTAAATGGAAATGCTTATTTTCTGACTGATGGAAGAAAAGTAATGGAAGGGTATGATTGCTTACTCGGTTTTGATTTTACAACAGAGAAATTTGGACCGCTTCTTTCTTTGTCGTTTTCGCATGATTTTATGGACACTGCAGGGAGACTATCTTGTGTTAAAGGAGAGAAACTTGCGGTCTTATATCAGCGCTACTATACGTCTGAGATGGAGGTATGGGTGACAACTAAGATTGAGCCGAATGCGGTGTCATGGAGCAAATTCTTAGCAGTTGATATGGAACCACTCACTAGTCTTAAGTTTAACGATGATGTTGGCAGTTTCTTCATTGACGAAGAGAAGAAAATCGCCGTGGTTTTCGATTTAGATGAATCTGAACGGTACAATACGGCTTACATCATTGGTGATAATGGATGCTTGAAAGAAGTTGATCTTGATGAAGCTGTGAACCCCCAAGAATCTGTCGAGGTTGGAGACCGCATGTTTTCTTTTTCGCCATTTGTGTGTTCTTGCTCTTATGTTCCAAGTTTAGTGAAAATCAACCAAATTGCAGAACATGAAAGGAAAGATAAGAAGAGGAAGAGAGAGAGGCAGCGAACCAACAAGGTGGCATTACACTACTAGTTGAACTAACATTTTCATGCATCTTTTTGTTTTTTGGTTTTTTTATGTTTGGTTTTGCAATATCCGTTGAACAAGATTAGTCGATAAGAGAGCCAAGATGGTTAAGATTGATCATTTTTAGCAATAAGAACTAATGTTACTGACTTAAGTTTGTTTTGGATTTACATATCTAGGCTCTGTACAACTCTTGAAACAACTCTTTAAGATTGTGGTATTTTGTCTGTTCTTTTGCAATGTCCTGTGAACTAGACTAATTAATTGTTATATTGTTTCTATTTAGCTAAACAGTCCTAGCTGATCAGAAACTTGACTGTAGAATAGTTCTTTTTTGCTCTCTATTTCCAATTTGATCATATTACTATATTTGAAACAACCAGTCTTCTCTGAATTCACCACTTAAAAAGACACAAGTTACTTATACGGGTTAAGAATAATTTCATAGAAAATATACGGGTTCGAGAAAGTTCTACTCCACTTGAATTAACTTCTTCTATCCTCCAACAAAAATAAATTTCTCTAAAAAATCGGTATAGGCGTTTGGATATGTTAAGAGGTTTTGTAGAGAAAAAACAACTGTTACTCTTTTTCATAATATGGTTGTTGTGTTGCAGAAATTAAAATTAGGGCAAGATTCAAAAAAGGCGTTATCGTAATGTTACTGTTGAGACATTCATTACTTCTTTTTTTTGGTAAACTGTTAAGTACATTCATTACTTCTTACCACGTATTTTGAATGTTTTAAGTTGCTGAATTGGTGAAGTGATTCAGATTTTGGGTGTTATTTGGCTTCAATTCATGAATTGTGTTTGATTTGGATAGATTTAGCTCTCAGGTTTGATCTCTAGGGGTGAAATCCATTCTGTGATAAATTTGATTTTATTGATTAATGGCTGGTTTTTGTTTACTGATTTTCACTTTTGTTTCTAGCAGAAGAGAGTATAATTTTAATGAATATGAATCATCATTTGGCAAAGAGTTACTAAATTATAGACATCCATATAATATTTGTGTTGATCTCCTATGTTATGTATGATTGTTTCATTTGCAGAATCAGCTCATGATGACAACCAAGTCTAATTTGACTCTGTTTTGGTGTGAGTGTTCGTGTTTTGAGTTTAATTTGACTCTGTTTCAAATTTGATTCATGTCTCTTAACTGTTTTCTTTAATATATTTGGATAAAAGTTTGTGAATGTTGGTGTTAGCGTTCGTGTTTAAGCTTTGTTGGTGTGAATGTTGGTGTTACTAAGTAGACAATGGTGATAGATAAATCAGTGATCTTCTTTGTCTTAAGCTTTGTTGCCTGTTTTTCTTCTTAAGCTCTTTAGCTTGTAACAATGTGAATGGTTTAGCTTGTGAATAGACCAGACAAGGGTCATCTTTGTTTTTGGGTTTGGTATGTCACGTGTCTATTATAGCCTATATAGATCCTTGTCTTTTTTAGCTTGTAACAATGTGAATGGTTTAGCTTGTGACTGGTTTAGCTTGTGACTGGTTTAGCTTACTGATTTGCAGAACAAAAGAAGCAGAAGAATTCTGAAATCAAATCTGGCCTGGATAATGCAGAAGTATTGGTATGTGATAGGCATAACTTGAATGGAATATAGAAGTGAAGAGAATCACATCTTGACAATTCAATTCTTCTTGCTCTTTTCTTATGAAAATGCACTTGTATTCAAATATCATTAATTATGGTTCTTATGGATTCATAGGTTCATGTGTAGCTTTTGTCTTTGTATTGTTATAAAAAAGTGGGCTGACCATGGGCTGACCATTGGACATGGTCCTTAATGGGCTTGAACAAATTTTTAGACCATTGTCCATTAAGGACCAAACCATTAGAGCCCATGAAAATAATGGTCCAAATGGACATGACCATTGAGCTTTGGACAGCCCAATTGACAGTTCTAACCACACGTATTTATCTTTGTGAAAGTTATATATAAAAAAAATAAAGAGCTAAGTCTTCTGATGCATATACACAATCGTAAAAAAGAGTGGCAATCGTGAAAGTTAACCCTAATTTTATATTTGAAAACGATGGCGATGATGTCCGATCTTTCACAGGATTTGGTCGAAGAGATACTGTCTAGGCTTCCGATGACATCTCTAGGAGCAGTGAGATCCACTTGCAAAGGATGGAACACTTTATCGAAAAATCGAATTTTATGTAAAGCAGAAAGGCATCAGTTTTTAGGGTTTACGATGATGGATCAAAGGCTTTTCTCAATGAGATTCAGTCTCCATAGAATAGGCCTCAACGAAAACGGTGAAGAGTTTGTTGATTCGTCAATAAAGCCAATAGGCAATTTACTTAATCAAGTCGTGATGTCTAAAATCTTTTATTGTGACGGTTTATTGTTATGTGTCACAATGAACAACAAAAGGAAGCTCGTAGTTTGGAACCCGTATTTGGGACAAACCAGGTGGATCCAACCTAAAAACGATTACCGCGAAGGCGCCACGTATGCTCTTGGATACGACAACAACAAGAACCACAAAATCTTAAGGTTTTTCGATCGTAAAGGCTACTACGAAATTTACGATTTGAAGTCTAATTCATGGAGTTTATCTAATGTCATTCCCAACTGGCAGATATATTGTTGTGAGCGCTACACGTCGTTAAAAGGAAATACCTATTTTATGTCTGCTAAAAAAAATGGAGGGGCGCCGGCTGGATATGATTTTATACTGTGTTTTGATTTTACAACAGAGAGATTTGGACAGATTCTTCCTCTGCCGTTTAAAGATTATATTTGGACTCTATCTTGTGTCAAAGAAGAGAAACTCGCAGTCGCGGTGTTATGTTGGAAAAATACATATGTGATAGAGATATGGATGACAATTAAGATTGATCCTAATGCCGCTTCGTGGAGCAAATTATTAAGAGTTGATAGAAAACCACCCATTGGTCTTGGCTTTGTGTTTGCTAATCGTGATGATAGTTTCTTCATTGACGAAGAGAAGAAAGTCGCCTTGGTTTTTAGTTCAGACAAAGTTAAAACCTCTACTGCTTATATCACTGGAGATAATAAATATTTGAAAACAGTGGATCTTGAAAAAGCTGCAAACTTCCAAGAATCTTTGTATTGTTTTTTGCCACTTGTGTGCTCCTGCAGCTCTTATTATGTTCCAAGTTTGGTGCAAATCAACCAAATTGCAGGACACAAAAGTAAAGATAAGAAGAGGAAGCGAACCAACAAGGTGTAATTCACTACCAGTGCGCAGGAAAAAAGAAGACTAACAATTAATTTTAACTTACCCCCTTTTTTACGATATTAGCTTATATCCATTTTTGCATTTTATTTTGATTAGTTTGCTTTCTTTTCTTTTGCAATGTCCTCTGAACAAGACTAGTTGATACTAATTTTGTTTCTCTTTAGTTAAACATGGATTTTGCTTTCCATAATGCTATATTCATCAGTTCCTACACTTAGAGATGGTATAGAGACAACGACCATGACTGTTTCACGGATAGGAGCCTAAACCGTTCAAGATAATTATATGATGAAAGGTTCCTAGATTTGTCAAGATATCATGACGCGTCACGACTCACGAGTACTAGGACTTTGAACACTTGACGAATGTAGATGAATGAGTCAATGGAGAGCAGAATCTGCGAGTCGGATGCAAAATGTTCTATTATCCTCTGTTTAGTGTGTCTCATGGTCGTTCCTAGCATTGTTTCGGACCTCCAGATCAGGGCAATGGAGACACATGAGATGAGACCAAGATTTGAACACTATCAATGATATCAAAGATACTTAACAAACCTATTTATTTACTTCTTTTTGTTATACATTTCCAAACAATTTTCTTTCCTTCTTCGTAGAATATGTAGATAAATATTGACTCAACCTTACCTTATATGATTTATGAAATTCTAAACTAAAACTTATCATATATAAATATTTTTCATTATTTGGTGGAACTCCAAACTCCAAAAGATCACGTAGATGCATTTATTGGACTGTCTGACTCTGGTCTAATAATATATGCATCTCTTGAAAGAGGGTTAGGATTTTATAGATATTCATGAGGATTTCAATATTGCATTCTTAAGGGAAACAGTTATGGAGACTCTTAATACGGATTAAACGATAGAATCATTCAGAAAAACACCTAACCATTTGTGATATAGATTATAAACTTCCCCAAATTTGGTTTTGCAGATTCCAACCCTTAACAACATTTACTTAAAAACTAATCAAAAGTCTTTTGTAGTCGGTTCAAACGACAAGTACTAATCTAATGTTTTGTCTCTTTTGACTAGAGAGACTTGACTTTGTTAACACGAAGTCAATACTCAATACTAATTAATTGCTAACTCAGTGATTGATGACGTGGCGAGATCTAAACTGTTAAATCATTATTCAATCGTGACCGTCGAATTTTCCATAGTAGCCGATCCCAAATTCTTTCTTCCTTCCCTTCCTTCTCTTCGCCTCTCACGACACAACTCGAAGATCAAAGTATTCGTAAATTCTCTCTTTCGAATCATTTTCTGGAAGCTGAGAAGAAATGGGTTTCGAGGATGATCCGTAAATTCTCCTCCTTTCTCTTCAATTTCATATTTTTAGCTTCGTTGTTCAGAAAAAAAATCCCACCTTTGATTGAATCTAGGGTTACCGAAATCGATCTCTTTTCAATTTTCCAAATTTCGATTTCGTTTTTGTGCAAATAGAGTATTTTGATTCATGGGCAGACGAAAAGCTTGATTTTTTTAATCTCCTATTGATTCGAAATCCTTTGTGTTTCCAGGTACCGTGATGTAGATGGAGAGCCAATAGTTGACTTTGATGACTTTGGAAATGATCGTGAGCCATCTACAGAGCAACTTCAGGATTTTGATGAAGACTTGGCTGATGATATTGGAGATTGGGATGGTGAAGGATCACAAACTCCTGTTTATGATAATGATAAAGTAGCTAAACCGAGGAAGAGGTTGGTGAAGAAAGCTTCTAGTGAACGTGAGACTATTGATGTTCCTGAATTGATTGATGAGGATGTGGAGGATGCTGAGTTTGATGAGTTTATGGGAGGAAGAGGTGGTGGTGGTGGTACTGATTATGATGATAAGGTTGGTAGGAAGAGGAAGAAGGAGAAAGAGAGAAGTAGTAGTGGTAGTGGGAAGGAGAAAAGGCATAAGTTCCCGAATCGTGGCGAGAGGAAGTCAGAAGAGATTGATGAGATGTGGAAATCTATTGCTCATAACCCTGAGGTGCAGTAGATTGGTTAAAGTTATAAGATTGCGTGAGACAGAATTTTGTTTTTTTCGACTAATAAAAGTGTTTAATTTCTGTTATAGAATGATGAAGAAGGTGTTAGGACTATGGATGACGATAATTTCATTGATGATACTGGTTTGGATCCTTCTGAGAGGTATGGAGGTGATGCTGGAGACCGCTCTCCAACTCATTATCCTCAGGTATGAGTAGTGTATCTTCAGTTTCCATCTCTGAGTCTAGCTTTTGTTTGATGATACATAATGCTTTTGTTATGAACAAACAGGCAGAGGAGGGTGAGGATGATGATGAGGTGAATAACCTTTTCAAAATGGGGAAGAAAAAGAAAAAGACTGAAAGAAATCCTGCGGAAATCGCACTCTTGGTCGAGAATGTGATGGCTGAGCTTGAGGTTACTGCTGAGGAAGATGCAGAACTTAATAGACGGGGGAAGCCTGCTATCAACAAGCTTAAGAAACTTTCGCTTCTTACTGATGTACTTGGAAAGTAAGTTGCTAACTTACTGTTTTCCTATACAGTTTCTTTGTAACGATCTATTTTGTAATATCGTATATTCTTCTTTATCCAGGAAGCAGCTTCAAACAGAATTCCTGGACCATGGAGTTTTAACTCTGTTGAAGAATTGGCTTGAGCCTCTTCCAGATGGAAGCTTGCCAAATATAAACATCCGTGCAGCTATTCTAAGAGTTCTTACTGATGTACGCTCCTGTTTAGAGTAGAGAGATTTTGTGTGATTTTGACCCTTTCTAGCTCCTTTATTAATCCCTGAGTTTGTCTTGCAGTTTCCGATTGACTTGGACCAGTATGATAGAAGGGAGCAATTGAAAAAGAGTGGGCTTGGAAAGGTTAGGATACATTACCTGATACAAATTGACGAACCGGTATGTAGGATTTATACTCGGGAACTTAAATTTGTTCTGGCTTTGGCAGGTCATTATGTTCTTATCAAAGTCTGACGAGGAAACTAATTCCAACAGACGACTTGCTAAGGATTTGGTTGATAAATGGGTAAACATCTTTTCCAATAGCTCCAATCCCTAGAATCAAATTCCAATCATTTGTTTACTGTATTCTTGATGTTGCAGTCTCGTCCAATTTTCAACAAGAGTACTAGGTTTGAGGACATGAGAAATCTCGATGAAGATAGGGTTCCCTATAGAAGGCCACCAGTGAAGAAGTATATCCCAAAACCTTTAATTTTTCGATTTCACTAGCTTTTACAATTCATATACTGATTCATAGCTTCTCTTCTTGTTCTACTGGGGTTCACATAGACCTAGCAACAAAGCGACAATGGAGTCCAGAGATGGTGACTTTGACTTGGAGATTCGGTATGGAAAAAATCTTCCGAATTTGTAAATATATGAACTTCTAAAAGATATGTTTAACACTACTCATTGTTTGTTGATAAATATGCAGGGAACGTAAAACTGGTCTGACTTCTGGTCAGAGTTCAAGGGGAGACAGGCAAATGACGATGAGGCCGGAAGCAACCCCATTGGACTTTTTGATCCGTCCTCAATCCAAGATTGACCCGGATGAGATCAGAGCCCGTGCAAAACAGGGCTCTCAGGACCAGCGTCGGGTCAAGGTAAAATACTTCTTCCGTTTATCGTTTTATATCTGACAAACAAAACACCATCTAATTACTGATTTGGTATGGTGAACACTTTTGTTACTCCTTTTCTCTTATAGTCCTTGAGATGGCTCTTTTGTTTTATAATTGCAGATGAACAAGAAACTTCAGCAGCTAAAAGGAACAAAGAAGAAGCGGCTACAAGCCACAAAGGTGAGCGTGGAAGGTCGGGGTATGATCAAGTACCTGTAGAGAGGTTACAACCAGACCAGACCATCAAGCCACATTGGAACTGGTTCTTCTATCGTGTTAATCTTCCAACTTTGCTTGGATCAGTGTTTAAAAAGGTCTTCGAGGTGAAGTCAAAGACTTGAGGCATTGGGGTTTATACTTATATGTACTCTTCTATATATGGTTTGCTTTGAGTCTCTTTCTAATGTAATTGGAAAGTGAAAACATTACGTTCGTCACTTCCTTCTTGAGAGCAGATACATTCATCTATTATGGTAATCAATTTTCAGTCCATTTCACAATAAATCAGCTGAGCCTCGAGGAGGGTTTCTTAATTCCTTATTTTGTTTCATAAATATCACAATCAAACCATTATACTGTATATCCAACTTTAAAAAAAAAAAAGAGTTTTATACATGTAAACGAAAATATTAAACTATAGTTTGATATTTTGAGCTAGTTGATGGAGTAGAAGTAAATTATGTGATAACTTGAAATTTTTCCCCAACAAAATATAGTCTTTACTCTTTACAACTTTACAAATTGGCAAAATCTATAAATGCCACTTAAAAATTTTACTTTTGTCATAATTGATTCGTTTAGGAAAATCATATATATAAAAGTAAGGTTTTTGGTCCACTTGCATTTCATTTAAAGAAAACTATTGTTTATAAAAAATTTAAGAATTACACTGATTAGCGAGTTACACTGCCATGAGCTCCCAGCAAATTACAAAAACTAATCGAACAGTACTGACTTTTCTGATAGGCTGTTTAAGGATGAAAAAATAAATATGGCAACTGTGTTAGCAAAACTAGAATCAATGAGTGACGCAGGTGACGACCGTTTAAAGATGACACTGTTGTACTTTTTAGGGACTGTCATTCAAGGAAAGAAGATAGTTGACAATCTGGAGTTATGTAAGTCTTTTCCATGGGACACATTGACATTCCGTGATTGCATAAAAAATGTTTATCATCTAATGGAAAGTTTGAAGGCACTGTGAACAACTCATGGGCGTTTCCTGGTTTCGTGATCCCACTTGAAGTAAATTTTTACTCTCTTCTTATTGGTCCACTTGACATCTTATTTAAAGAAAAATATTGTTTATAAAAAATTTAATTATATCATAATTACATAAATGAATACTTAATTAGATCAATAGTCATATACAAAACGGAATTGCTAGCTAGAAATTCATCTTAATTACACACTTACCAGTTACCATCATTTGTGAAAGACAACAATTAATCACTTTTACAAAATTAAATGCAGTTGATGACGTTTTCTTCTTCACATAGAAACGTGTATATATATGTGCTTAAAAGACTTTAATATGTTAATTGTTATCTAACGTATGGTTTTCTTAATTGATTATCTCAACTTTCAATTGAAAGTTAAGGTTTGTGCAAATACTACAAGGATTTTAAAATGAAAACTCATGACCCACCAAAATCTTATTAGTTCACTTCATTTGTTATAAATAAGTAGTTGTTTTTCTTCTCACATACTACCTAACACTATCACCTACATAGTTTGTTAAATATATAACATTTGAAGATGAAAAATAATATATGCTCCAGCTTTGTCTTAGTGAAGAGGTAATTTGTTAATTCTTCTTTTTTCTTACTAATTTTTGTAATGATATGTGCTTTTTCTACATATCTAAACTCTAGATTGAAAAAGTAATCAACGGTTGAGAATTTGTTTTTATAATTATATGAATGTCTACATATTTTGCATCTGATCCACGGTTGAAAATTATTTTTTATAATTATATGAATGTCTACATATTTTGCATCTGATCCACGGTTGCGAATTACTTTTTATAATATGAATGTCTACATATTTTGCATTTGCTAAAATTTTTATTTCAGCTATAGAGTAATGCAAGAGCACAAACAAAATCATTTTTGTTTCGATCATAGGGTTATCTTATACTTCCTTCCATCATATCCTAATAAGGCTTTGAATAGAACCAGTTTTTAGATTATGATTTTGCAAAAATGCAAAAATTAACCATTCATGATTTTATAAAAAATGGATTTCCTAAAAAATAGAAAAACCAGATTTGGCCAGATTTTAGCTATTTCTTCATAGAATCCAAAAACCAAGTTTTGTGGGTTTTTTCAACAATTTACGTCACATTTTTTGTCAATTCTTTTTTTATTATTTTAAATATGCTATTTTAAAATATATAACTTAAAAACGTTTAAAAATTATTATTATATAGAAAAACTAAAAACTAAACAAATTACCGTTCAAGATTTTGCAAAAACTAAAATCTACACCAAATATCAAAAACAAAAAAAAATCAAAAACTAAAAACCAAAATCCAGAAACTAGAATCTAAAAGCCAATAAAAAACTACCAAACATTCATGGCCTAAGTGATGGTTTAGCCAAAAAATATGGTTTTATTTTAATTAATTATTTCTGTTTTATAATTACTTATATTTTGCAGTTTATTTAATTGGTCGAATAGTGTTTAGGTATAAAATAAGTGGTCGAATAGTAGAATAATAGTTTGCCACATTTCTATATTTTCCATGCATGTAGATAGAAATTAGAAACATGACTGAAGACGAAGAGCATGTTGAAGTGTCATTTCATCCTTATTGGTCTACCTAAGGACACTTCAAGAGGCTCTTCTTTTTTGGACTCCTCTTCTTCAGTCATGTTGTCACTAGAGGCAGCTTGATCCCGGTTTTCTTCTTCTTCGGACTCCTCTTCTTTGGACTCCTCTTCTTCGAACTTTCTGTCACTAGAGGCAGCTTGATCCCGGTCTTCTTCTTCTTTAGACTCCTCTTCTTTAGACTCCTCTTCTTTGGACTCCTCTTCTTCGAACATGTTGTCACTAGAGGCAGCTTGATCCCGGTCTTCTCCTTCTTCTTCAGACTCCTCTTCTTTGGACTCCTCTTCTTCGAACATGTTGTCACTGAAGGTAGTTTGATCTTAAATGGTTTTCCATGGTATTGCAGCTATGGATGTTGGCATCTGTGTCAGAATTAGAAGATGCTTATGCTCGGCCCGATAATAAATGAGATCATTTTCCTGTTTGTGCGAGGTATTTATCTATTGTTCAGCCTTCTTATGATCAAATCATGAGTAAGGAAGAAGATCTTAAGGTAATCAGTGTTCTTGGTGATTCGAATGAAGAAGAAGATGAAGATGTTCTTATGCACTTGTTGAAGAGTGATTACATATTCTCTTAGTTAGATTGGAAGAGAGGTTATGCACTTGCTCAGCACCAAGAAGATCAGAAAGTTGAGATTGGTGATCGTCAGACGCAGACTATGCAGATGTGGATGAGACGCAGACGCTGAACACAGACGCAGATGCAGAGGATAGCGATTTGGATAAGGCGTAGACGCTGAACGAAGATCAAGGATTGGTTGAAACACAGACGCATATGCAGAGGATAGTGATTTGGATGAGACGCAGACGCTGAACAAAGATCGAGGATTGAATGAAACGCAGACACTGAACACAGACGCAGATGCAGAGGATAGCGATTTGGATGAGACGCAGACGCTGAACAAAGATCAAAGATTGGTTGAAGGATTTCAACAACTGAGTTTTCAAGGTGATGAACCTTCTGCCAGCACTGCATTACCCACCACACCACCCAAAAAATCTCGATACGGACGCGTGCTTAAACAAAGAAAAATATTCTCTCCCAGTGGACATGCGAAGAAATCTCAAAGACACTGAAGGAAACATCATTGGAAACTCATGAGATTAAATGAAAACTTGCTTGCTTTCTTTACTTCTTTCTTTCATCATTGGACATGGCTTGCTTTCTTTATTCTTCCGTTTTATCTGTAAAACTTATTCGTTCTCTTTCTTACATTCTACTTTGATTCAGCCTTATTCGATTATGTTGACCCAGGATATGGAATAAGGCTGAATCAAAGTAGAATGTAAGAAGGATAACGAATAAGTTTACAGATAAAACGGAAGAATAAAGAAAGCAAGCCATGTACAATGATGAAAGAAAGAAATAAAGAAAGCAAGCAAGTTTTCATTTGATCTCATGAGTTTCCAATGATGTTTCCTTCAGTGCCTTTGAGATTTCTTCGTATGTCCACTGGGAGAGAATATTTTTCTTTGTTTAAGCACGCGTCTGTATCGAGATTTTTTGGGTGGTGTGGTGGGTAATGCAGTGTTGGCAGAAGGTTCATCATCTTGAAAACTCAGTTGTTGAAATCCTTCAACCAATCCTTGATCTTTGTTCAGCGTCTGCGTTTCATCCAAATCGCTATCCTCTGCATCTGCGTCTGTGTTCAGCGTCTGCGTTTCAATCAATCCTTGATCTTTGTTCAGCGTCTGCGTCTCATCCAAATCGCTATCCTCTGCATCTGCGTCTGTGTTCATCGTCTACATTTCAACCAATCCTTAATCTTCGTTCAGCGTATGCGTCTCATCTAAATCGCTATCCTCTGCATCTGCGTCTATGTTCCGCGTCTGCGTCTCATCCACATCTGCATAGTCTGCGTCTGACCGATCACCAATCTCAACTTCCTGCTCTTCTTGGTGCTAAGCAAGTGTATAACCTCTCTTCCAATCTAACTCAGAGAATACGTAACCACTCTTCAACAAGTGCATAAGAACATCATCATCTTCTTCTTCATTCAAATCATCAAGAACACTAATTACCTTAAGATCTTCTTCCTTACTCATGATTTGATCATAAGAAAGCTGAAGAGTAGATAAATACCTCACACAAAAAGGAAAAAGATCTGATTTATTATCGGGTCGAGCATAAGCCTCTTCTAATTCTGACACAGATGCCAACATCCATAGCTGCAATGCCATGGGAAACCCTTTAAGATCAAGCTGCCTCTAGTGACAACATGTTCGAAGAAGAGAAGTCCAAAGAAGAGGAGTCTAAAGAAGAAAAAAACCGAGATCAAGCTGCCTCTAGTGATAACATGTCCAAAGAAGAGGAGTCCAAAGAAGAGGACTTTGAAGAAAAAGAAGACCGGGATCAAGCTGCCTCTAGTGACAACATGAATGAAGAAGAAAGGCATGTTGAAGTGTCATTTTATCCTTATTGGTCTACCTAAGGACACTTCAAGAGGCTCTTCTTCTTTGGACTCCTCTTCTTCAGTCATGTTGTCACTAGAGGCAGCTTGATCCCGGTTTTCTTCTTCTTCGGACTCCTCTTCTTTGGACTCCTCTTCTTTGAACCTTTTGTCACTAGAGGCAGCTTGATCCCGGTCGTCTTCTTCTTTAGACTCCTCTTTTTTGGGCTCCTTTTCTTCGAACATGTTGTCACTAGAGGTAGCTTAATCCCGGTCTTCTTCTTCTTCAGACTCCTCTTCTTTGGACTCTTCTTCTTCGAACATGTTTTCACTTGAGGCAGCTTGATCCCGGTTTTCTTCTTCTTCAGTCACTTTTAGGGGTTCTTTTACGGTGCCACCATCATCATTACTGTCATTATCAACAGTGACAAGACTTCTGGGATCACTCAACTCTTCACCCCTGTAGTCACTAGAGGCAGCTTGATCCCGACTTTCTATGGGCTCATTTAGGGGCTTATTTACACAATCATCGTTACAGTAATTATAATTAGCGACATGATTTCTAGAATTAATCAACTCTTCACATATGTAATCATCTTGACCATCCTCCCTAGAGTCAGCTCGATCCCGCTAACAATCTTGGGGACATCCACCGTCTTCAGTCTACAAATCATCTACAGCCAGGTCACCATCTTGAGTCAGCACATGAGTCTGCACATTATCTACGGCCGGCTCACCATCTTGATTCAGCACATGAGCCAGGTCACCATTTTGAGTCTGGCTACCATTTTGAGTCAGGTCACCATTTTGAGTCTCGTTACCATTCTGACTCCTGCAACCTTGAGACCCGGAACCAGATGCTTCCGTAGCTTCGATTTGTTTTCCAAGGTAATTATTTTGACATCAGCTTTTCGTTGTTGTTCTCTCAATAACAGAAGGTCTCTTCTCAATTCATAATTTTTTGCGACACGTTTTGCTCTTCTGCTAACGCTCCATGAACTTGCGCATTGTTTTCTTCTTGCAACACAGGTAATGGGTTTGTGGTACGTTTTCTTTTTCTTCTGGAAGCACATGTCGCAGACTCAGGCCAGGCTCTCTTTTTCACTACTCGGTTTGACTGATCTTTCTCGTAAAGATCTTTCCAGAATATCAACTTTTTCTATGGTTAAAAGCTGCATCCAACTGCTAACAATAGGGTCAACATTTGTCGTGTCTTCTACGATGTGAGCCAGAAGAGGTTGCTCATCCAACTCAGGTACCAATATACTATGAATATCCTTTAAAGAACTACAAATTACACAAAACCTATAGTTGAATAACGATTAAGATAAGTAATTTCAAATTAAGGTGAGTTCTAACCTTCGTAGTTCCAAGAGCATTACAAAAAAATTCCAACGGAAATCCAGTACCACCTGATTTTATGAACTTCTTCTTGCACATCCTTGGACATGCATTGTTTGCGTGTTCGACATCTTCTTGGCACTCGTTCTTTAGTTTTGGAATAGATTCAAATGCTAACATCTACACAGTTAGCAATATCGCAAGCATCATATAGATAGTTACGAAAACGAAAACAAATAAGTGAACATATGGAAATCAAGACTCGTCAAAACTAAATTGTTCAACATGAGAAGCAAAAATTTACCTCAAGTGGTATCATGAAACCAGGAAACGCCCATGAGTTGTTCACAGTTCCTTCAAAATTTTTCATTAGACTTACACAACTCTAGATTGACAACTATCTTGTACAAGAAAGGCCTCACAAGTGTTTGTTTGAATTTCTTCTTTCCTTGAACGACAGTCCCTAAGAAGTACAACAATGTCATCTTTAAACGGTCATCACCTCATTGATTCTAGCTTTGCTAACACAGTTGCCAAATTTATTTTTTCACCCTTAAACAGCCTATCAGAAAAATCAGTACTGTCCGATTGGTTTTCGTAATCTGCTGGGAGCTCATGGCAGTGTAACCCGCTAATCAAGACATGCTCCTTGATTGAATAGCGAATGGGAACACCATTCACGATGAACCAACATTCATTCATCTCCATAATGTCAGCTGTTCGAAGAAGTAAAGTCCACATACCCGTGAATTTACGCATATTGTCCCAATGCATATGGAAGATGTGTCTAAATTGTGGGTGTTATGTGAACCATCCAAGCTCATCTGCTAAAAGTTGATTCCTTAAGAAAGTAACCGTCTGTTCAATAGAACACCTCGATTCTAATCTCAATTTCTGTTGATAACTTGTTTGATTGAAGAATAATCTTTGAGGTCTAGCTGGTGAAAGAAGAGGAACTGACTCAACTATATCTTGCACTCTAAACAAACAAACAGAGGGGACAAGTTCACATACTCTTCTAATAAGACCAAAATCGAACCCACAACACTAAAATCTAAAACCCACAATACTACTGAGAAAGTTTCAAGTTTCGAACCCACAACACTAAAAGAGAGGAATTGAAGAGCTTACCTGTCAGCGTTGAACGCAGATTCTCTAACGGTTTCTTCCTCCATTTTCTATTTGATTATTCCGTCGAGATAATCGTACTTGTCGGATTTGTAGTTGCACTTGCCGGATCTGTAGTCGCCCTAGCAAGCCAGAGTTGGAACCAACAAAAAGGATTATTGTTTTTTTTTCTTTCTTTTTTCCCTTTTGAAGGGATTATTGTTTTAAAATGCCATTTTTGGCTCACTATTTGTTTTATTTGGCATTTTCCTAAATGAATCAATTATGACAAAAGTTATTTTTTTAAGTGGCATTTATAGAGTTGTTTAGAGTAAAGACTATAATCTACTTAAAGAATTTTGTGTTCTTGATGCTGAGTTGGTCTTACAGTGGTAATTTAGCACCAAATTATTCAAATATCACCACTTGGTAAATACTAAATACTATAATTTACTTGAGAAATTGGATTGCTCTTGGTGTATAGTTGGTCTTACATATTAATTTAGCACCAGTTGGTAAAATACTATATTTTACTGAAGAAATTTGAATTGGTCTTGGTGTAGAAATTTTTCTTACATAATAATTTAGCACCAAATCAATCACCACTTGGTAAAAGACTAAAATTTACGTTGGTCTTGGTGTAGAGTTTGATCTTACACAGTAATTTCGCACCAAATAATATTAAAAGACTAAAGATTTGGTCTTACAATAATAATAACATAGCACCGTTTGGAAGGTCTATATATATGCTTTGTGTTTTGGATTAGAGGTAATAGAAGAAAGCAAAAGTGAGAAATGGAGGACGGAGGACCCTCTGTTGAGCAAGAGTGATGGTGATTCTTCATCGAATGAGGAACACATCGTCGACATAACTGCCGATGAGCAAACACCAAATGAGGCTGAGGGTGTTCAGCGGTGTGGTCCAATTACATATGAATATGTTTGGAGTTTTTTCGATCTTGCTCTAACTTTGGTTCAGATTGTAACAGCCATTGTAGTTATGGTTAAGGCAAAAGATAAGCATCCGCAAGTATGGATCATTGGTTACACTTGTGGTTGTATCGCCATTCTCCCTTGTCTATGTTGGCGTTGTTGGCATTATAGCCCATGTTTTAGCTCAGACTCATACATAACAAGGTATAAAACGTGTTACTTTTCTTTTTATTAGGCATTAGAAACCGAATTGATTTTTTTTTATATATATATTGGTCTTGCCAAAACTGTGAATAGGAGTGTGTGTTCTTTGTCTTCAAATGCAAACGCGTCCAAAAGCAGTAGAAGAAAAAAAGATTATTTCTTTATATTTTTCTAAGAACACTAGGAAATAAAGAGAAGACGAAGAAGATAAACAACAAAATCCCTAATTTGTACTAACTAAATCTCTCATCTACTACTAACTCCAAATCTTGAAGCTGCATAAACATATGAACCCACAACGCAGACAAGAACAGCAAGAACCAATGAAAACAGCTGAAAATTAGCCAGAAACTCTCCAGAGACTTCGGAATCGATTGATCTGCAAACTACAGAGTTTTGTTTTAAACTACAGCCTTGAGGCATCATAGGGCCATAGAGAGTGAAAGCTGTCTGGTAAAACCAGAGGCCTTGAAGAGTCATTGCAATGCCATTGCATAGATCTACTGGGAAGCTTGTAGGGCAGATTGCTCCTGCGATTGAGGAGATGACGCAGAGACCAATGAGAAAGACGAGGAGGAGATGGTAATAACCTTCAAGACCTTTGTGGCTTGTGGAGTGGAAGAAGAAGAGAAGACATTCTGCTGTAAAGGCTGTTGCAGCAATTAAGCATAGAGCTTCTTGTGGCAGAGGAAGTAACCTATGACAAATAAAGAAAGCATCGCTGTGAATATATCAATTCATAAAGATCCATATCTATATCCATTTCTATATGTTTTCATCAGAAACCAAGTCAAGAATCACTAGTAAACCACTTTTGAGTTCATATCACCAAAGTCCAACCTAACTTCAGAGTTAAACACCAATCGTGATGAATCTGTTGATAGTCAAATCATACTATTAATGATTTAGATCCATTTCTACAGTTTTTTTCATTCAAAAAATGAAGTCAATAATCACTAACAAACAACTTTTGAGTTCTCAAAATCACCAAAGATCATCAAGATTCATGTATACCATTATCTATTGATAATCAGATCATTTTATTATTGATCAAGATCCCTCATTTTATCAATGATCAAGATCCATCTCTAAGATTGTTTCTATCGAAAACTAGGTTGAGAATCACTAATAAACCACTTTTGAGTTCTCAAAACTACCAAGGATCCAACCTAACTTCAAAGAAAAATACCAAACTCAATGAATCAATCAATAATCGAATCATATTATCAACGATCTAGATCCATTTCTAGAAATCTTCATCGAAATGTAAGTCCATAATTACTGAGAACCCAACTTTTGACTTCTCAATCCAACCTATACCTAGCGTTGCCAATGGTATATCATTAAAGCAATCATTTAATACCTCGTTTTCTCGGAGAGCAAAGCGATAAATCCGAGGATGAAGAACATAAGAAGCATCCCAGAGTGCTCAAAATCATTCATGTGGGAAGGATTCAAAACACCATCAACAAAGAACTTGAGATGAGTTGAATACAAAAACTCAATGCACAAGTCAATGAACGAGCCAATAGTAACAACATAAAGCTCCAAGTACTTGATCCTATCATTAAATCCAGGAACAGGGTGCCAAACTCGAACCCGAAACGAACTAGGATTCGATATGAATCGAACCACTGAGCTCCAAATGTGCCATACTCCAACCACAAGGAACAATGTACCTGGCAAAGCATGACCCTTGAAAGAACCCATCTTTCTTTCAATTCCTGATCTAGATGTAAAACATTCAATATCAAGAGAAAGCTACAGATTCTAAACCCATAATCCAAAGAGATGAGTATATATATATACCCCGTAAGAAAATTGCAGATCAGATTCTTCTCCTCCTCCTTCTTCTTCTTTTGTTGATTTCGATCAAAAGATAAACACAACTTCTCAGCAAAGTCAAGAGTCGTCGATGAAAACAAGAGAGAACAAACAAATTTGGTCAAAGTTTGAAGCTATTGAGAGTAGCTAGAAACTTCACTCACGTAAAGAAACTGAGAAAGGGAACAAAACCCAGATAACAAAAATAGAACTTTGGATCAGAAGAACATAAAAATCTAGACTTTACCCTAGAAAGAAATAATTTGGATCAACCTGAACAAAAACAAAATTCTTAAAGAGGATTAAAAATGAAACCTTTTTTGAGTTTGAAGAGAAAAGGAGAGCAATAATAGGTCAATGATACAAAGAAGATTAATAAATTCATCATCTCTCACATGTCACATGGGAGAGAACATTTGAGAGAATCTGATCTTCTTATCAAATGATTTTTTTAATTTGTAATTAGCTCATTAATTATGTTAAACTAATCACATTTTCTTTCAAAAAAATCTCTTTACTAAGTCCAAGTTTGACCAAATCTGAAATAAATGCCACGTGTCTAATATATACTCTCTAGTCTCTAGTCTCTACACCTTCAGATTTTGACAAAGAACATCGTTTTATCTTTCTGAGACCAGAAAATTTAGTTTCCCGATGTGTTTTCCGACGAATTCTCCGGCGAATCTTTGGAGCTGGATCTGATAGGAAATGCTTTGGATCCTTGAGTGGATCTACTCCATCTTTGATTCAACCATTTTGGTTTCCTTGTCTTGATTTTGGGGATTTTGGAGGTAATTTCTTGAGGAGTGTGGCCAACGAATTCGTAAGAACAATAGGAGATTCTGAATTGACTCGATTTTCCAATTTTGATTCTTGAAATCTGCAGATATCTCTGTAAAATCGAGTCAATCCAAAGCTCCTTTTGTTCTTGAAGAAAAGCCTAACATCAAGAACTCTAAAAGCTTCAAGAACATAATGCTTTTCTTGATTTACTGATGAAGATGCTTTGTTGTGAACAGGTGACACAAACAAGCGAACCCGGTTACTGATCATTACAGTAAGTTCTTGTGAGATTTGTTGATGCAGTGTGCAGCTTGTTATGCGTAAATTTAGCGGTTTTCGAGCTTTAAAGCTTTAGTTGATAGGATTATAGATTGAAAGAATGTTTCTTTACATGCTTTAAGTTAGAAACGAAAGAGAACTCGAAAATGTCTTTGTTTTGCGGTGTTGGGATTATACTGTGTCTACCCTTTTGTTTAGCTTTTGGATCTCACTTCAAAGTATTTGTATTGAATGAGTTGGAACAAAAAAGATGAAGACTTTAAAGGTCTATTAGTCAGAGTCTGAGAGATCAAGAACTATTCATCATCGTTATCTTGTATGTTCAATGCGAATTTAATAGACTGTAGATCATGTAGAACATCATGGACCCCTTTGCTTAGATCCTCAAACTGTTGCTTTGGTATCTGATATGTCACTTCACCATCTTCGCCAACTTGCTCCCGTAAAGTTACCATCTCTTCTAGTAACTTATTAGCCTTGCTGATATCGAGTTGAGTTTTTCTTGGTGAATCTTGTTTGGAAACTATGATGCTTGTGTCAGTATTTCTCTTGACAATAGAATTGCCTCCAGATGATGAATTACCACACGAGTTGACATTTTCTGAGGATCTTGGTGATTTCTTCCTTGTTGAAGAAGGAGAACCAGAAACAGATGGTGTCTTGTTCAATTCTTTTGAAACTCGCGGACTTGGGGGATGGTTGTAACTACGCGAATTGGCAGCTTCAGGAGATCTTGGTGGCTTCTTCCTAGTTAAAGAAGAAGAACCAGATAAAGAAGATGACTTGTACGATTCTTTTGAAACTCGCGGGCTTGGGGGACTTTTCTGACCACGAGAGTTAATAGCTTCAGGAGATCTTGGTGACTTCTTCCTCTTTAAAGGAGAACCAGAAAAAGATGGTGACGTGTTTGATTCTTTTGAAACTCGTGAGCTTGTGGAATTGTGGTGCTTTATGTAGTTCTCTCGCTTGGGAGGACGAGGAACAGATGATGTATCTCTTGGAACACGAGGAGAAGAGCTCGATTGTTTGGCTAAGTCTGCTACCCGAGGTAACATTCTCGGTTTTTTGACAGGAGAATCTGTTATAGAAAAGCAAGACGTCAATCCAGAAACAAGGGAATTAACACTGAGACCTGAACATGAGAGCATATCATTTTACCTCTTTGCTTTGGCGAAAACGTATGGACATTAGATGGAGATCTCCCAGGGGAGCTTGGAAGCTGAAACGTGACATGACCCTGACCCTTTGTTCCCCCTGAGCCCCTGAGAGCTCCCTTAAGATCCTTAACATCATCCACTGCTCCTCCCAAGCTTCTATCAGGGCTCTTTGTCGATCTAGGTGATGATCTCTGAACCCATTTAAGCTTATCAGAGCTTCTATCAGGGCTCCTTGTCGATCGAGCTGATGATTTCTGAACCCATTCAGGCTTATCAGAACTTCTATCAGGGCTCTTTTTCGGTCTAGGTGATGATCTCTGAACCCATTCAGGCTTCTTTGAAGGATGCTTAGTTGCTTTCTCTGACCCCGTGAGACTCCCTGCATAGCTACTACTGCCATGGCTCCGACCATCTGCTCTACTCACCTCGATCTGTGAACCAGTTACAGATGTCTCTCTTTTTGTCTCCATTTCCCTCTTCTTTACCACTTCTTGATCTTTTCCCTCAGATTTTGCAGCTGATGTTTTCCACTTCCCTGGGGAAAAAGATGTTGCCTTTGTTGGGGTCGTTGCAGTCACAGGTTTCTGTTCTGAATGTGAAGCCTGAAGCATGTGGAAAATTTTCTTAGCCTCAGACTGCAAAACCGCAACAGAAAGTTTCCACCACCGAATGTACCCAACCGTAACATCAGCCTCGTGAAGCCGAGCAGGAAAGTACAACATTCCATCAGCAATTGGACGGATATAATCTTTCCAGGCCAATTCTGGCGTCTCAATTCTAGCTGGAACTACGCCGGGAACATCCTGATCATAACCAAACTGCAATGCCACACGGTGAGGATAATAAGGTTCAATGCAATCCAAACCAACCAGTTTAGCAAACCTCAAACACCGACCAAAGGCTACAATGGTCTCATCAGGTCTTACTCGAACCCAACAGTCATCTTCCATGTAAAACTTTGGGAATTTGAAGTTATTCACAGGTTTTGTGTATGGACGATGGTCGAAACTATCTTTGGCCGAGTCCAACACCGCTTTGATATTCTCAGGATAGCCGTACACATCCTGACCACCACCATGATGGTGCCACCGCGCTATCCGCGGTTCACCAGTCTTTAACTGGCTTGGCTGTCCCGGTGGCTGCAACTCCATGATTCTCTCTAAAGCCCAAACCTGCACAAACTGAAACGGAGACTTCACCACTACCGTCTCTTTCTCACTATCACCACTGAGATACTCCTTCAAAACCCCAAGATCCCGATAAATCCTAGCTAAAACCGCTGGAGCCAGAGCCAACCTAACTCCCTTAGCAAGCTGAATTGCAGCCGGAAACAGCTTCTCTCTCAACACATCACCTGAATTAGGGAATACAAAACGCGATAGCCACGAAACCATAAACGCCTCATGCTCAATCTCATTCCCTGAGTTCATCATCTCTTTCATCCACAAGCTAACACCACATTTCTTCTCCAAATTCGCCTCGATATCACGTTTCGCCTCCTTCATCTTCTCCTCCACCTCCTTCATACCGTCTCGTTTAATCGGAGCCAAAGCATTGTTCCCAGTAACAGACAATCCTCCAAGAACAATCATATCCTCCAACGTCACCGTCGCTTCTCCCCAAGGGAACACAAATGTGTTGGTCTCAATACACCATTTCTCCACCAATGCCATAATCAAATCATCATGCCTCTTAATCTGATACCGAGACGCCAAAATCGCGTCGTAAACTCCAGATTTCTTCCACACCGTAGCGTGTGACTCCGCCATTACATTCACCCACTCGGTCCAGTTCAACGACGGAGATCCCCAACCGGGAAACGAGATCTTCGCCGCCGGATCAAACCCCTCCGGTCTACACACAAACGCATCCAAAGGGAGGTCGAAAACATCGTCGTCAATAGATGTCGTCGTGTAGTTTAAGAACCTCGCCGTTCGCAAAGATTCAAACTTTTCACCGTCGGGACACATTAAAGCTTCCCTGACTTGAACAATTTGTTCATCTTCTTGATCAGAAGATCCTCGAGACTCCTCCATTAGGTCGGAGAACGAAAAGCACAAATTCTAGGGTTTTGGGTCAATTTCAGTATCTCTGTCTAGTCAAAGAAAACAAAATTACAAAGGAGAAACAGTTAGAGATATCTTGGACTCCGCCGTGTCTGTTGCCGGAGATCCCGAATTTTCCGGCGGAATAAACCGGCACGTCGACCTCAAAATTTTCCCGCTTTAGCAGCGGAGAAGGAGAAAAAAAGAATGTTTTTTTAAAAAGAAATAAAATTTAAAATCTATTTATAGAAAGACAGCTTTGTCGTAGAGATAATAACCCAACGGCTCTAAATTTACAGAGTTTTGATCTAACGGCGGCGGAGGAGCTTTGCTTTTATGTCAGAAGTATTACTTCAATTGGTAAATTTTATCTTCTTCCTGTTTTTGGACCTTTTTTGGTCAATAATACAGAAATTTTTCATCTAGAAATTATTTTTGTTACATCTAGAAAACATTAGAAAAAAAAAAAGAATTTTCAAGATAATAGTGATCGAATAAGCACAACCAATTTTTATATAGAAAAAAAAAAAGTGATGAGAGAGAATAACAAAAAGTTATTAGAGAAAAAAAAATCTAGTGATTTATATTCTTCAAATTAATTAGTAGTTTTTTTGTTCAACAATTAGGGTTTTTTAAGTTACAGAAAATACCATATATATCCATATGTTTACATACTATAGTTGGTAAAAAAGTAAGATTTTTGATTAAGATTTATGCGGCATTTTCCCAGATTTTTGATTAAAAATATCATAATATTCACTAAAGATTCAAAATTATTTAGGATATCACTAAAGATTCAAATTTATTTTGGTGACTAGACAAGTCTTTTTAAGTATGGGCTTCATTTACACTAGCTAGGTCCATCAAGAGCCTATTAAATATTACAAGAAACCCACTATATATTCTTCCTAGGTCAGCTCATGATCATGTCCTAGACTCTTAGCTGTTGGTAGTGGTGACAAGTGACGAACATAGACAGATGCAGATCATAAAGTTCCATTACTTAATTAACTTCCAAGTTCCAACTACTTTTGTTGAATTCTACTTACAAAATTTATTAATGTTGTAAAGTTAAAAAGTCATAAGACTTGGCTTTTGACATTGGGTGAGTTTATATTGTTAAGTTCAAAAAGTGCATGCATTCGAGAAGATCATTAACTTTTCTTTTATTTATTTATCTACCACCGACTTAGTCAATGTTTTAGCCTTTTTGAAAGAAAAAAAATTATGCATAAACTTAAACCGGTTGATTTAAAACAAATACATTACTTTTGCTAAAGATGGTTCAAGCCGTTCAACAAATACACTGACACTGCAAATTTTGAATAATCGACTAGAAGATATATTCAACAAATTCAACTGCCTAATCCGGTGGAGACATGCAATAGATATAGTATTAAACATCTTTCGTTAATTAGAGAAATTTTCAAGGTCAAAAGATATACAAAGATATATAGAAATGTTATAATAAGATTTCCACCTTTCAATACATGTTGTGTGGGTTGAAAATAATAGAAGACACCGTAAAACTAAAAATTCCAGGAGACCAACTAGTCAAATGACTTGATGAGCAAGTTCGGAATAGGTTTTCTTCAATCCGAGAGCAAGAAGATGGAAAATATGAAGATTATGTGATGATTTGGTACGCATTAAGATAAACACTAGACTTCAAAAAGGTATCTTTTCGTCAAAAATATATCAAAATTGATTGAAGATCTGCTGCAATGTAAAAATATTTTTTCGAATAAATTTTACATTTTATTAAAAAAAAAAAAATTCTTTTATAGGTCGAACACCAATTGATCATGGAGGTGGAAATTAAGTAAAGTAGTAATGGGATAGTTTTAATCAAGGGCGTTTTTACTTTTTACATAAGTGGAGCAGTTAAACATGATTTCAATTTAAAAAATAAATTATGTATATAGAATAAGATTCTAAAAAAAATATAGATAAAAATTAAGAGTGTGATTTTTAAAAAATATAAAAATACATATAAATGGACCTATAACATTTTGAAAATTATTTTACCTTATGAAATATACTTTATATAAATGTTCCTAAATATAGTTTGAGATGACCCTGATTTTGATTGAGAGACTAACAAGGTTGAATATATAAATATTTAACATGTTATATAATTATATAGAATTCTAAAATATATTTTTTACTATATGACCCATATATTTGCTATGCAATAATTTGTTTTTCAAAAACTTTGTCTGTTGATTTTGTAGGCTTGTAAATATATATACATTTTATAAATTAGATATTCAGAAAATCTGAATAAATTGGTACAACACAACTCTTTTCGGTAAATTGAATATCTACATAGAAAAAGAACATTTTATATACGGAAAAAAAAATACTTGTTCCATAATAATAAATTAATAACAATAAAAATATTAAAATCGTCTAAAATATTCAAAAAAAATCATCTTGTTCACCTGAACAAAACAATTGCATTTCATATAGATTTAAATAGATCGGTTTCGTTGCTAATTCCTTCAATTACTTCTTCCGGGTGTAGGTGTGAATAAACAAACATCCGACAAATCTCTAGCGGTACCTTCAATATTGCGCGAAACACTGAAAGTCTGAAACTGTATCCAATTTTATAAGGACAGAACATAAATTTCAACTACTTTTTAATTATTACATGAATGATTTCTTTTTTCTTTAAGGATAGAACACAAAATCTTCACACGTGGCACCTTACACAACCAATCACGGTGCTCTCACCAACCCCCCTTCCTCTTGTCTATTTATCATAATTGTTTTTGTTTGTTTTATTTATCCCATAAAATTATCTTCTATTATTTTTAGTCCACAGCCCTGCTTTGAGAATAAGACACGTAAGAGCATCTCCAACAGTGAGAAACTATAAAAAGTTCTCAAATATAATAATTTAATATTTTTATAATAAATAAATTATTTGTTTAAATTTAAATTAATTAAAAAAAACTTTAACCAATCAAATGATACCAAGTGTTAGACACAATGTCTCAGAGTTTCTCAAATGAGACACTGTGTTTCGTTCTTTCTCTTACTTTTAATTATTTTTCTTTTTTTTAATTCTTTAAACACTTTTTGATAAACTTCCGTTGGAGATGCTCTAATTCTTTGTTTCTCATTCACATAGTCCATTCGATTCCAAATAATCCTACCCGTTATTATACATTAAATTTGACCTGAAATTTGTTTCAATTGTTGTGCTGATTTAATCGGAATTTGTAGTTTATATAGTAGTCTACATTCGTATATATGGAGAACATTCTCTCTGAGCAAGAATTGTTATCAAGATTTTGTAACGAACCTTATAGAGTTGGTCAAGATTATACAATCCTCTATCGATTGACCAGTTTTTTCGTATCTTTAAGACAAAAAAAATCTCCTTCAAAATCCTTCAAAAAAAGAAAATCTATAAAAAAAAAAAATCATTTTTTGATTTTTATTTGTCTTTGATTTATAGTACTAGTAGTGTAAAGTTTAAATTAAAAAACTTGGTATCTAGAATCTGGTTTGTTGATGTTGTTTTGTAAATTCTTCTCATCTAGTTTGAGAAACCAATCGTACTTATTTTAATTTAGTTGTGAGGTTGACAAAAACAAATATAAAAAAAAAACTGCATGACGTAGAGTTAAATTTCCTCATCGTCTTTAATCTTTTCTCATTTTTTCTGCTGTTTAGAATAAATTCTGATATTTGATGTTTATATGTTACAAAACTATTGTCCTTCAAATGATATCATAATCTTTTAGTGTTTTAATTTTTTTTTAAATCACTTAATATAAACGCAGACAAAGAGTTTCATTTGGCGTATGATTTTAGATTTTATAAAACTATTCTATGGAAAAATGAATATGCATGTTCTATATATTGAAAATGTTAAGAAAACTAAATGCATTTTTACATGCAAAAATAAACATAAACTGCGTAAACAGTCGAGGTTAAAATCATATGTTCCTTTTTTCAAGGTCTAGAATTTAATTTTATCTTTCATAGGATGAATCTCGAGATTAGGTGAACTAATAAGGATTATTATTTCATTGCCAAGAATAATATAAAACCAATATGCGAAAGGTTGAATCTAAGAAGCTTATGACATTTGTAAGTCATCACAATATGACCTTTGAGAGTCTCTCGCTCCAAATTAAAATAATAATACTTTTCTTTTAGTTTAATTATTTAATTTAATTTTTATTTGTTACACATAGAAAATCAAACAAATGTTTGTAAATGAATGCATGCATAAGCTTTTAACTGGTATAAATTAATCATGGAGAGAAAAATCTGCTCACGTTTACTTGTTTTCAAACTCCAATTGAAGAGTTGGTGAATTGTTTTTTCTAAAGTCAAGTCAGTTATATCAGAAATAGTTTAATGTCAAAGTATGCTAAAACCGCCAATTAATCTATGTTCCCGTCACCCCGTGTATCTCTGTGGTCTTTCTTGTCGTCTATGCCTTGTAGATTTTTTTTTTTGTTGTTTTTTTCTTTTTGTTTATAGTTTTTCGGTCATTTTCTGCTACTTATATATATCCTTTGTAACCGTCTGATAGATACAAACAAAAATGGTATAAATTCAACATTAATACCCAAAAAAAAAAAGAAACAATAATCCTTATCAGAATGGTCTGGTGGAGTCATCAGGTGTCGTGAGACACATTAGTCATCAGGTGTCGTGAGACACACTTATGGTTCCACTAATCTGTTTTCATATAGACATCTCTATTTTATGGATACAATCCAATTATTTACTATTTTTAGAATTAAGATATTATTTACTAATTGTGGAGTACCTAATATTAATTCTATAAAATAAGCAAAGGGTATTTCTGTATTTATTTCAAAAAAAATCAGGTGAGGAAATTATTAATAAAAAATACGTATTTGCTTTGATAGGCATCATATCAAATGTCGATATCTTTACTTATAATGCATACAATAATCCATTAGGTGCGCGCACACACATATACACACATATATATATATGCATATGTATGTATATGTTTCTCTTCACTATATAGATACACAATCAAAAGAGGCTCTTCAACCAAAATATTGATCGAGAGAGAGAAAAAAATGGGAGAGAGCAAACGCACCGAGAAAACGCGCGTTTTGGTAGTGGGAGCGACTGGGTACATAGGGAAGAGGATAGTAAGGGCGTGTTTGGCTGAAGGTCACGAGACTTATGTTTTGCAGCGGCCAGAGATTGGTCTCGACGTCGAGAAAGTCCAACTCCTTCTCTCTTTCAAGAAACTCGGCGCACGAATCGTTGAAGGTTCTTTCTCCGACCACCAAAGCCTCGTCTCTGCCGTGAAACTTGTTGACGTCGTTGTCTCCGCCATGTCCGGCGTTCACTTCCGTAGCCATAACATCCTTGTTCAGCTCAAGCTCGTCGAAGCCATCAAAGAGGCTGGAAACGTCAAGGTATAATAAACTATTAAGTAAAGGTTAATTAATTAATTAATTAATTAGAAAATTGTGAGGTCAATCTGAAAAATCTTAAAAGTAAAGAAACCACACGATGGGGATAAAATAAAATAAAACATGCTCGAGAGTTTATTTTTGTTTTACTTTTTATATTTGATTTATAAAAAAAGAAAAAAAAAAACGTCAAAGGTAAAAGATACACATATTACATGCATATAAAGAAACTTAACCTAATAAATCTTTGTTCCTTTTTATACACTAGATGATTATTTATTTCTTGTAATTAAAATGATATATGTAAAATTAATTATTTCAGCGGTTTTTACCATCTGAATTTGGTATGGATCCACCACGTATGGGACATGCGCTACCACCAGGAAGAGAAACCTTCGACCAGAAAATGGAAGTGCGTCAGGCGATAGAGGCTGCCGGAATTCCATACACTTACATTGTGGGTGCTTGTTTTGCGGCTTACTTCGCCGGAAACTTATCTCAGATGGTAACTTTACTTCCTCCCAAAGAAAAAGTTAATATTTATGGTGACGGAAATGTAAAAGGTAAGAAATTTTTCAAACTCTTTTTTCTCCCATTTTGGTTCTATACTTTTTAAGAGTTTAAAGATCAACCTCACAGTTTCTAAACCAATCAATTTTAACCGTTTTATATTTGTAGTTGTGTTTGCGGATGAAGATGATATCGCAAAATACACGGCAAAGACGTTAAACGATCCACGAACCTTAAACAAAACCGTGAATATCAGACCTCCCGACAACGTTCTCACGCAGATCGAATTAGTTCAGATATGGGAAAAGCTAACCGGAAAAGAATTGGAGAAAACAAATATTGCTGCAGAAGACTTCCTTGCTAACATTGAACGTAAGTCCAATCAATAGTGTAACGTAGTCTACATTGTCGGCAACATATGCTTAATGGGCCAGGATTTGGGTCTATTTGAAAGATATAGCCCATAAGTTTTATCTGATTTCTTTTACGTGTGTATGTAGAAATGGAGATTCCACACCAAGCGGGGATAGGACATTTTTATCACATTTTCTACGAAGGATGTCTCACTGATCACGAAGTCGGAGAAGACGAAGAAGCTTCTAGTCTTTATCCTGACGTCAAGTACAAACGCATGGATGATTACTTAAGAATGTTCCTTTAAATATATTTGATAAAATCATATCTATACCAGATACTCATATCAAAAGTTTGATGTTTTATATTCATATATGTTCTGCTATACAAATTGAAAAATATATTCTTCATGTAATAAAAAATATTATCTTTAGTTTTTAAGAACAACAGCACAAGGAGCAAGGAGTTGGTAACTCTACTGATTGAACACTAACTTGTAAGTTGTAGCTTGTAACTTCCAGTATGTAAGAATACGGAGGTCCCAAGTTCGAGACATTTGAGGAAATCTTGTATCTCGGTTTGTAACCTCTAGGTTACAGAACACAAACACACACAAAAACAACAACAACAAAAACGAAATATCCATGCTATTGCAACGATATGAAAGTAGAATACTAACATATGAGAAAGTTTTTCATTAAATATGTAAGATCACAAATTTTTGTTTGTTAAAGTAAAAAAACTCTAAAACCCACTTGTAAGCCCATTCTTAAATTTCTATACCAATGCTCAACTATGTGGTTGTGTAAGTTGGAATAAAATGATGGCAATTAGTTGGGCTTGTACTAAACTATTGTAATCGCCGTCAAAAGATAAGTAATAAACTATTGTAATCTTTTGTGGACAACAACGCACACGAGACAATAACAAAAAAATTGATGGAATAAAAGACAGCGCAAAAGACAAGATAAACAAAGGTTGATAGTTGTATAATGTGTGCATATAGACTTTGGAGTGTCATCATTGAATCACGAGGATCTCTCTAGACAGAGATTATTTTTATTAATCCTATTTTGACGGATATTAGTATATTACAATTGTTTAGTACAGGCTCGAATAATTTCCAATTTACCATCATTTACACACAAAACATTATTAAAACTCAAATAGTTGATAAATAATCATTGCGGCTGCGTATACAATTATAAAATCTTCGACCCGAAGCTGAGTTCGAATGAAAACAGAATTTTATTATCCTTTGGTTCACGAAATCTACATACTCCACTTACTATGACACATATTTTTATTTTCATAATCTCGATTTCGTACAAACTAATCGGTTGTTGATTAAGTCGTAAAGTCAAATATTTTTGTTGTGAATAGAATGTATATTAATTATATACTTACTATATTTGTTTTAAGTCATAACAAGGCAACACGAGCAATGTTAGCATAATGTCTATTGCCAACGAAGGGATAAACGTGGATGAGCGCATCAAGACATGTTACTAATCCCAAAACCTTAAGCAAAAGCGATTATTAAATGTTTTCAACATAGACGACTATGTACATAATATTTTTATTCCTGAAATGACTAAATGGAAAAATCGCATGACTGATCTAACTTATAGAATTGTAAAACGTTTGTTGACAAAAATAAAATTATACAACAATTTAGCATTCTAGTATTTTGGGAATTCCCAGTCAGAGTTTTAAATTATTTATCTATATTGTTATAGAAATGTAAATTATTTAGTTAGCCATGAATACATATGGAATGACAACATGAAATTTTTAAAACTAAAACATCAATTAGGAATGATAATGTGCTTTTCCTAGTTAACCTCTTCCGTTCCGTGACCACCTAAAAGACTAAACACGGATTATACATTTATACACTTCTAAAATACCATTAATTACACTTAATACGTACCTTTTAATCTTTTGCCCTTTTTCGTCAAAATTTTCTCCTACTTTTTTTTGTTCTCCTACTTATTTCAAGGGCTGCGTCCAAACTTGTTCGTCGTACGTTTTCTTTTCAAATTGTTGCTTTTTTTTTTCCAATTTCAAATTTAAGTATTCTTCTATGTAAATAAAGCTAAAAGGACTCCATATTTCATTTCCACGAATATTTGTTTTCCTCTACCAAAATGCCTGTCCTACCTTAAAACTATAAGTACATTTCCTAATACGAAGATATATAATTTGATCATGATTTGTTTTTTTGGTTATAATTTATCCATTATTAAGATTAGGTAACCGAAAAACTTTGCCTTTATTTGAAAAGTTAATACGGAAACGCATAAAGGTATTAAAGATGATCTCCATATATCCAACCTTATATAATTTCTAGTATACCAAAAAAAGTCAAAATAAAACGAAATTTACTCCATCACTCGATGATTTCACGCGTGCTATCTACTACTTTGAGAGTTGGCCACTACGATGAGCAATGAGTATTTCTCAATACTCACAATTCCCTCTTAAGGAATAATCGTAACAAAAAAAAAAACATGATACTTTTTTTTTTTTTTTTGGCTCAACTTCAACTATTCATTATCCAAAGGATTACATCCACATTCAAGGTACATGACATTCACCTCTATAGAATTGGACCAAATGCAATGGTTCGATCTAGTATCACCCTGAAACACTATCGGATCCAACATGATACTTTGACACCAAATGTTGAGGGTTTCTCTTATCTCTTGGAAATAGTAAAATACAAATATCTAAGGGTCTTATTTTCAAAATATAATTCAGAGGAAATGAAAATTAGCTGTATACAATATATATATATATATATATATTTTACATAAATAATTTATATGATACTATTACATTATGTCAACCAGTTATACTGATATATACAATGGATAAACATGCAATAATATGTGGATTATAGTTTAAATAATTATCAATCACTAAAACGATATTCTCAATTGTTTCATACATAGTTATTTTTTGTTATTTTTAACAATTATGGTTCTTTTTTGTGTCACCGGTTAGACCTAAAGTGAGAAAAATCACCACAAATTCTGAATAAAGAATCTTTGATAAATAAGATATGAAAAGAAACATGCTAAAGGAAAAAAAAAAAACATTTGTTTATAGAAATGGATAATATTTTTATATAACAATTGAAAAAAACCTCAAAAATAAAAATAATTAGAAACTCCTAGAGTTGGATACTTTGTCCATTCTCTTTCTCCTTCACGCCACTCTCCATCAAACAAACCCATCTCTCTTCTCTCTCTTGTGTTCATCAATGGCGACTCTACAAGACATAGGAGTCTCAGCTCTCATCAACCTCTTCGGTGCCTTCTTATTTCTCATCGCATTCGCTGTCTTAAGAATCCAACCCATCAACGACAGAGTCTACTTCCCCAAATGGTACCTCACCGGAGAAAGAAACAGTCCCCGGCGCTCCGACAGAACTCTCGTCGGAAAATTCGTGAACCTCAACTACAAAACTTACTTCACTTTCCTTAATTGGATGCCTCAAGCCATGAAAATGAGTGAATCAGAGATTATTCGTCATGCTGGTCTCGATTCTGCTATCTTCCTTAGGATTTACACTCTCGGGTAAGTATTTTCTCTTCCTCTTCTCGCAATTAGGTTTTGTACTTTAGAAAAAAAAACAAAACTTTTTGAGACTTGATAGTAAAATCTGTTGAGAGGTCAATTTCTCGAGAAAATGAAAGAATAAAAATCGAAACTTTTTCAATGGAAAAGAGAAAAAGTTGATTACTAAACAGAATTTTGCTGATAATTACAAGTGCCCTTTATTTTTATTTACACACATGATTATTTCATTAAGATTTGAGAGTACTTCTCGAGAAAAAATGGAAACCTTCGAGAAAAATTATGTTGTTTTTTGTTCTTGTTCTTGTTGGTTTTCTCTGGGATTCATGTTTCTGTACTTGATTGTAATCTTCAAGAACGAATTTTTACGAGTGACAAATTCCCGAATTTCACGGTTTTAAGAATCTTTACTCTTCAGAATTATTGTACTTTATTCTAACAAAAAAACAGAATGTTACAGCTAAGTTTCAGATTTGTCTGCTCTGCATTCCACAAAGACAAAAGCAACAGAAGTTTCGTTTGTGTTCACTGTTTCGTGTTTGTTTCCTGAGAAAAAGTCACTTTTAGATAACTTTCTTTTTCCCCCAGGAAAGTTACTGGAGAATCTGAATAACTATGCCTAAAAATCTGCTCTTTTTTCTTGTTTTTTGGCAGCTTGAAGATCTTTGCACCAGTTATGGTATTAGCGCTTGTTGTTCTTGTTCCAGTAAATGTATCAAGTGGAACACTTTTCTTCTTGAAGAAAGAACTTGTGGTCAGCAACATTGATAAGCTCTCTATATCAAATGTTCAGCCCAAATCTTCAAAGTGAGTTTAGTTTTGAACAAAAATTAAGCTTTACTTATAAAGATCAATGATTTTTACTGGCTAAAGATTAACATTTCTTATGTGTGTGTGTGTAGGTTCTTCTTTCACATTGGAGTAGAGTACATTTTCACGTTCTGGGCATGTTTCATGCTCTACAGAGAATACAATAATGTCGCTATTATGCGTCTGCAGTATTTAGCTTCACAGCGTAGGCGTCCAGAACAGTTCACTGTGAGTGAAAAAGCCTCAAACTTCAAACATCGATAAGTGTTGCATTGGTGTTTATATATATACCACTGTTTTTTTTGTTTTGCAGGTTGTTGTTAGAAACGTTCCTGACATGCCCGGACACTCGGTTCCAGATACCGTGGATCAGTTCTTCAAGACGAATCACCCTGAGCATTACCTCTGTCATCAAGTAATTTTGTTTGTCCTTGATCACTTACTTTAGTTGTAGAATGTGTTAGTGTGTGATTGATGAATCCAACTTTCTTGTTTCAGGCTGTTTATAATGCGAACACGTACGCAAAGCTGGTGAAGCAAAGAGCAAAGTTGCAACGTTGGTTTGATTATTATGTGCTGAAGCATCAACGTAATCCGCATAAGATGCCTACATGCAGAGTTAGTCTCTCCACGCCATTGGTTTAGCTTTTTTGAGATGAAATGATGTTGATTGCGATGCGTGGCTTTTGTTTTTCCAGACAGGGTTTCTTGGTCTATGGGGTAAAATGGTTGATTCCATTGAGTACTACAAACAACAAATCAAGGAGTTTGACCACAATGTAAGCCATTCCATTGCTTTTAAATTACTGCTGAAACAGAATTGAAACTTTAACCTCATTTCATCTTTGTTGATACAGATGTCTTTGGAGCGTCAAAAAGTTCTCAAGGACTCCAAACTAATGCTTCCTGTTGCATTTGTATCGTTTGATTCACGATGGGGTGCTGCTGTTTGTGCACAGACGCAGCAGAGCAAGAATCCGACATTATGGTTAACGAGTAGTGCTCCAGAGCCTCGGGATATCTATTGGCAAAATCTTGCTATACCTTTTATCTCTTTGACCATCCGGAAACTCATAATTGGTGTCTCAGTCTTTGCCTTGGTCTTTTTCTACATGATTCCTATCGCTTTCGTGCAATCTCTCGCCAATTTAGAAGGTCTTGACAGAGTTGCACCTTTCCTCAGACCTGTTACTAGATTGTAAGTTTCTCCATCTATCTTGGTTTTCGCTTCTTGGTATGTTAGACCGTTGACTCCATCTTCTTGGTATTTATTGCAGGGATTTCATCAAGTCATTCTTACAGGGTTTTCTCCCTGGTCTTGCTCTGAAGATTTTCTTGTGGATTCTCCCAACGGTTCTGCTGATTATGTCAAAGATTGAGGGATACATCGCTATATCGACCCTCGAGCGCAGAGCAGCAGCAAAGTACTATTACTTTATGTTAGTTAATGTGTTCTTGGGAAGTATCATTGCTGGAACCGCGTTTGAGCAGTTGGACTCTTTTCTTCACCAATCACCATCTCAGTAAACCACCTTTTACCTCTTTTTATTGCCTAAAGATTCTAACTTTGAATTAAAACTCATATCTTAAATGCTCTTGTTTATTGTGTTTTGCAGGATTCCTCGAACCATTGGGGTCTCAATACCAATGAAAGCTACGTTCTTTATCACATATATAATGGTTGACGGGTGGGCGGGGATTGCAGGTGAGATTCTCCGGTTAAAGCCCCTCGTGATTTTCCACTTGAAGAACATGTTTCTTGTGAAGACTGAAGAAGATAGAGTGAGAGCAATGGACCCTGGCTTTGTCGATTTCAAGGAGACTCTCCCATCTCTCCAGCTCTACTTCCTCTTGGGAATTGTCTACACCGCTGTTACTCCCATTCTTCTTCCCTTCATCTGCATATTCTTTGCCTTTGCTTACTTCGTCTATCGCCATCAGGTTCGGTTTAATACTCAATCACCCGTCGTGTCTAATATCCCCCTAAATTTTGTTTTTTTCTTAATGGTGCTTTCTTGGTTTACGATTTAGATAATCAATGTTTACAACCAACAATATGAGAGCTGTGGAGCGTTTTGGCCGCACGTTCATGGCCGGATAATCGCGAGCTTGTTGATATCTCAGCTTCTGCTTATGGGACTTTTGGCTTCTAAAAAAGCAGCTGACTCAACTCCATTGCTTATCATCTTACCCATTCTCACACTTTCTTTCCACAAGTACTGCAAACACCGCTTCGAACCTGCCTTCCGACAATACCCTCTTGAGGTAAATAAAGAATCTTTTGGGCTCTCTCTTCCTGAAGAAAAGGTTTAAAGCTTTCTTACAAAGACCCGTGTTTTTGGTCTTACCGCAGGAAGCAATGGCGAAAGACAAGCTAGAGAAGGAAACAGAACCGGAGCTGAACATGAAAGCGGATCTTGCAGATGCTTACTTGCATCCTATTTTCCATTCATTCGAGAAAGAAGTAGAATTATCATCATCATCATCATCAGAAAAAGAGACTCACCAAGAAGAGACACCAGAGGTAAGAGTCGACAAACATGAAACACAGTCGTCTAGTCCTGTAACCGAGCTCGGTACTCCTACCCATCACCATTATGTCTACAATTCCACTTCCCCTTCTTCTCACTACACTTCAGCTTATGAGCAATCATCATCTCAGTATGAATATCACTACAATACTCATCAGTACGAGGAGCATGAGTACCGTTACAATTGATCTCTAACGGAAAAAAGAAAGACATGTAATGTCGATAAAGGTTTCTTATGAGTGTCATTCAGGTCTAGGTTTAGGCTATTTGTTAGCTGACTTTGATTTTGGTTTTGGGGTTTAGGAAATTGGTGTTAGTATCATTCACTTGTATGGAAATATATTCGAAGATTAATTTTATCGTCATCTAGTTTCTTCAAGCCTTTTGTAATTGTAAAATTTGGTGTATAATTGATAATTTGATATGATAGCTGTTTTGATTGTTAAAAAGAGCTGAGAAACACTAGATTTTCATAGAAGAAATGTCAGTAGAAATATACATTTTTATGGGTTAATTCTCTATTCCAAAAGATTGCTCAAAAATGGTTATAGTTCAAAGTTAAATTAGAAAGTGCTCTAATAAGAAAGAATTTATCAACCATATCAAAACTATACTATTAATATTTAATTAAAGTAGACAAAAGACCTTTCTTAACGGAAAAACCTAACCCGGAAAAAAGACAAAAGTCGATCATCTTGTCGATAGAACTTACTCTCTTGTCCATACAAAATATCGTAATCCAATTTCAATCACAAACATCATTAACAAACATGGAGAAGACTATGATGTGCCGTCTCTTAGAATCGTATCCACGTCGTCGTCTCCATACCCATGGCTACTCTTTTAGCCACTCCTCTCTTCTCTCCTTTAGCTTTTTCTCCAGCAAGGAACCACCTTTCTTGCTCCAAGATCCGTTTCGATTCGAAACATGGGAGAATTCTCAATTCCAATGGTGCCCAGAAGTTGAATCTCTCAAAACAAAGATTTCTACAAATGGGTTCTTCCAAAGAGATGACCTTTGAGAGAAAACTCTCAGTTCAAGCCATGGATGGTGCAGGAACTGGAAACACATCAACGATCTCTCGTAACGTAAGCTTCACGATGTTGTTTATTTACCATTTTATTGTAACAGCTTTTTAAAGTTTCGAATTTTCGTTGTTGCACACCAGGTGTTTGCGATAAGTCACTTGTTGGTTTCACTTGGGATCATACTTGCTGCTGACTATTTCTTGAAGCAGGCGTTTTTGGCAGCGTCTATTAAGTTCCCAAGTGCTTTGTTTGGGATGTTTTGTATCTTCTCTGTTCTTATGATATTTGATTCGGTTGTTCCTGCTGCTGCAAATGGTTTGATGAATTTCTTCGAGCCTGCGTTTCTGTTTATCCAGAGATGGCTTCCTTTGTTCTATGTTCCTTCTCTTGTAGTTCTTCCTCTTTCTGTCAGAGATATTCCGGCTGCTTCCGGAGTCAAAATCTGCTACATTGTAGGTATATCCTTTCACTCAACACGCGATCGACGAACTTAATCTTCACATAAAAGTCATAATGCTCTTGTAGCTTTTGTGGTAATTTGGTCTAAATGCTCTGTTTTGTTTCCTATTCGATGCTCGTACGATGTCAATGTTGAATCGAATGTTTGTTTGTACAGCCGGTGGATGGTTGGCGTCACTTTGTGTAGCAGGGTTCACAGCTATTGCAGTGAGAAAAATGGTGAAAACTGAAATGACGGAAGCCGAACCTATGGCAAAACCATCACCATTTTCAACACTTGAGCTATGGAGTTGGAGTGGAATCTTTGTTGTGTCGTTTGTTGGTGCTCTGTTTTATCCGAATTCATTGGGGACAAGTGCAAGAACTTGTCTCCCTTTCCTTCTTTCTTCAACTGTGCTAGGTTACATTGTCGGTTCTGGGTAAAGTTCAAATCCCCTTCTTTGTTCTCAATCTTTAAGTCTCTCTCTCTCTCGCGGTTGTTCTCATTGTCTTTCCTTCTTCCAGGTTGCCATCTTCTATCAAGAAAGTTTTCCATCCGATAATCTGTTGCGCACTATCTGCAGTACTCGCTGCTCTAGCTTTTGGGTATGCTTCAGGATCTGGACTTGATCCTGTTTTAGGTAAAGTCACCTTTATGAAACAAACCAAAAGAGAAACCCTTTAAAGAACCTAAAACAGAACGTAAAAGCTTTTTGTTCACTGTTCTTTAATGGTGACAGGAAACTACCTTACCAAAGTAGCATCAGATCCTGGTGCTGGTGACATATTAATGGGTTTTCTTGGCTCTGTCATTCTCTCTTTCGCTTTCTCCATGTTCAAACAAAGAAAGGTAAAACAAGCGACAAACGTGTTCTGTTTTGCTTTAGAAAACTGGTAACAACTTTGTTTGCGTCTGTCTTCTTCAGCTCGTGAAGAGGCACGCAGCTGAGATCTTCACATCTGTGATAGTTTCAACGGTATTCTCGCTCTACTCCACTGCTCTTGTGGGACGTTTAGTTGGTTTAGAACCATCTTTAACGGTTTCAATCCTACCTCGCTGCATCACGGTTGCATTGGCCCTTAGCATTGTATCACTCTTTGAAGGTATACATTTTTCTTCTTCTTCTCCTCCTCTACCGAACACATAAAAGAACATCCCTAACGACTTTCTTGGACATTTTCAGGGACCAATTCGTCTCTTACAGCAGCTGTAGTCGTTGTGACTGGTCTGATTGGAGCTAACTTTGTACAAGTTGTTCTTGACAAACTGCGTTTACGTGATCCAATTGCTCGGGGAATTGCAACTGCTTCAAGGTGACTCCTTTACAAATGATCTTTCACATCATTAATGCCTTTAGGATCAAAAGACATGAACTTTTTTATTTTTATGGCCAGTGCTCATGGACTTGGAACAGCAGCTTTGTCGGCTAAGGAGCCAGAGGCTCTTCCCTTCTGTGCAATAGCTTATGCTCTCACCGGAATCTTCGGATCGTTATTGTGTTCTGTCCCTGCCGTCCGACAGAGTTTGCTGGCGGTCGTCGGCTGAGGATTGTTGATGTGGCGACACACGATTGATGGTCTCAAAGCCAGCGAGTTACTATATGGGAGCAGTTTGCTTTGGATGTAAAATAAGCTTGTATCAATGAAAAAGATGATGGAAAATGCTTATTTATTTTATTTTATATATGTAAATGTTGTGAAATTTGTACAAAATATATAAATTTTATTATATAAGAGTAGGATGCCCCAGCTTTCCAAATAATTGGCATAAAATATGTCAAAATTGTAAGAATTTCATAACAATGGGTAAATTCAAGATTATCTTTATTCTAGCAAATAGCAATAAAATAAAAATGCTAAAAATGATAATAAAATTTTGATATGCTAGCAAATGCCTCTACTTTTAAATGCTAAAAATGATAATATATTACCTCAGCTTTTAACCAAAGTATGTCGAAATTTTAAGAATTTCATAACAATGGATAAATTCAATATTAATTTGATTAAAGCAATATATAAAAACGATAATAAATTTTTTATACGCTAGCAAATGCTTCTATTTTTACATTTTACTTTTTTTTTAAAAAGACAAAAAAAGTAAATTTTAATATTTGAAATTAGGAACATCTGTATTCAGTTTTTAGTCTTGTGATCAAATAAAATATAATAATTTCATACAAATTATCAGAATTAACAATCCATTACAAACAAATTGGTCAAAATCAAATCGAACAAAATATTGAGGGACAAAAGCATAAATAAGAAAAGAGGATGACGAGAGCCAAAAGCTGCAATGGAAGGTGTTAAGCTAAACTCTCTTCTTGTCTGATTTCTTCTACTCTCAACTCTCAACCACAAAACCAAAAAAATGTTACTAATCCCAATTTCTTCTTCTTCTTCCTCTATGTAAGTTTTCTCATTTTCAACATTCAAATTCTCATCTCTTAACGATATTACTAACATCGTCTTTGTTGTAGCCTTCCTCCTAATTCATATCCATCGAATCATCACTCTCTGTTTTTCTCCAATCTCACATACCCGATTCCACATGGTAACCTATCCTTCAACTTGTTGACTTTTTTTTCAATTTCACAATCCCAATTCGAAAAAACTGAGATTTGGGTCTTCGAGTATATCAAGCTGAGATTACAATTCTGTTCTTCAGGAAGCAGAAAGTTGAAGACTTTGCGACTCAGAGCCAATTTCTGGGAGTCAATTCGATCTGGGTACTGAAAAAGTTTCAAACTTTACTTGCTTATATGAGAAATTCGGTGCTGATACAACAACACACAATTGTTGCAGGTTTGTGAAGAATAATAATAGTACCCAACTTGTTGAACCACCTTCTATAGTTGTTGATGAAGAAGAAGAGACTGAACCATTGTTACCTGTGGAATTTACTTTAGTTGAGAGAAATCTTGAAGATGGTTTAATTGAAGAGATCATATTTTCTTCTGGTGGTGAGATTGATGTTTATGATCTTCAAGGTCTTTGTGACAAGGTAGTTAAAAACACTACTCTTTTGCTCTGTGTCTGGTTGATGATACTAATTTTGCTTGAACAATCTCATTTATGGAACAATAAAGGTTGGATGGCCACGGAGACCGTTAGTGAAACTAGCTGCTGCTTTGAAGAATAGTTATATGGTTGCTACTTTGCATTCGGTTATGAAGTCATCATCAGATTCAGATTCATCAGGTGCTTATAACTAAGTAGCACTTTTCTTCAATCCAATATAAGCAACGTATATATATACAAAGAGGATGTTTTGATGAACATCTTAGCGGATTTTGGAGAAGTTATTTGACACAGAAGGGGGTAATGGGGAGAAGCAGCAGGAGAAGAAGCTTATTGGTATGGCACGTGCAACGTCGGATCATGCCTTTAATGCTACAATTTGGGATGTTCTTGTTGATCCTGAATATCAGGTAACCAAAAATGGAAATGGTTTTCGCTTTCCAATATGTGAAATGTTTTGTGTTTGATGTTAATTAGTGTTTGTGTTTGTTTTCAGGGTCAAGGACTAGGTAAAGCGCTTGTCGAAAAACTTGTAAGGGCTCTTCTTCAGAGAGATATTGGTAATATATCTCTATTTGCAGATAGTCAAGGTAAAACGTCGGATCACCATATGCTCTGCAATTTTTGTGATCAAAATATTTGGATTTGTTCTTTCTTAGATGTTGAATTTGTGTCCCTTTTTGTTGCAGTTGTGGATTTCTATCAGAACTTGGGGTTTGAGGCTGATCCAGAAGGCATCAAAGGCATGTTTTGGTACCCAAAGTAGTTACTTGGTGATTACAAGAGGATGGGATTATTATTTGTTTGTATATTTCTGTGCTTTCTTATATATGGATCTATAAGGAAGTTTCAACTGTGCATTTTGTAACTCAAAATCTATTTGAGATTCAACATAAGTATGATCAATAGGAGAAAAGTTTTCTTTCTTTTGCTTAGGTTGATTCTTGGTTTGAATCTACTTTGGTGCTATAAAGGATAAATTTTGATGGATTGATAAAGGCGTTCTATAAACTGAACTGTTATTGCTCTTCTATTCACTTCTCTACATTACAGGCTTTTTCTTTTTATCTCCACACAAATTACAAAACAAGCAAGACCGTCCTTTTCGCCATGAAAATCCGCGGTAAACAATGCATAAGGAAAGAAGGAAATAAGAAAAGAAGAAACTGCGGATGGATTTATCGACGCGTTCTATTTGGCTTCTCTTTGTTTGTTTTAGGCTTTAGCTTCTGCACGAGCAGTGGCTTTGTTGGCAATGAGCTGCTCATAGAGGTCTCTGATCTTCAATCCAACAATGGTTTGGAATAGACCAGTCCCGTTGTTGCTACCCGGGAAGTCAGCATGTTTGAGCATTTGTTGAGTGACTTCGCCGTAGAATTTGGTCGAGAGGTTGCTCAAGTGACTCTCCACGTAAATCAGCTCGTCCAGTCTATCAAACTGTCCATCCATCTCCAAAACCGATACCTGAGAGAAACAAAAAGAGAAATATATGCAATGAGTCTAATTTCTCATTTTCATTCATTTCTCACAATATGTCATTATGCAATATTACCAATCCAAGCCGGTAAATGAATGTACCTCATGGTCGAAGTATGAATCAGGTTCGTAGTTGAACTTGATGCCAGGGTACGAGCAAGTGAGTTTGCGGCCGCAAGGGATCCACGAGATTGTTGAACCTTCATCAAACAGATAAACCGGGCTGAAGTACTTAACTCCTTCCTTCATTATCAGTCTCACTCTCAACACTTTCCCTTCGTTGTCATCTGGGATCAGCGTCGTAGGAAGCACTTCAATGACCGCATCCGCATACTGCTTTTGCGGGTCTGTATAAGCCATTAATAAATTGTTAAAGATCAATCGGAAAATGACACGATAATTACACCAAAACTAGAGTTTATACCGATGAATGCATCGAAGTCGGGCTTTCGGGCTTCGATACTCGCTTTGATGCTCTCCAAACTGTGACCTCTTTCAGCCATGTCCCTCTGTGATCATCAAAAACGTTACTGATTCATTTTATATGATAAATCGAAAATGTTTGAATAAATTGTATAAATGTAGATGAATATTCAAAGAAACGCACCTGAATTTTCCATGCGAATTTGACTTCGTTGCTAATGTCTAAGTAGATACTGAAGTCTAGTAAGTCTCTCACTCTCTCATCAAACCTTCACAAGTAGATAAATATCAATATAAAAATTTATAAAACATTACAACTACCAAAAAAACTATAGACTTAATTATTCAAATAAAAATTAAACGGTGTCACACACTACATGCATAGATTCGAAGATCCATCTTTTAATATTCTGATACTGATTCTATAAAAAAATCTAAGTCCAAGATTCTTAATCATCCAAATTCCGACAAGATAAGAGACTTCCAAACTCTAAAATTTGAATTTGTCTAAGAGACAAAACAGAGTATGTGTAGCTTACATTGGGTGAAGACCTTCGATGACAAGAATCTTAGGAGGCTGAATAAGCTCAGGCGGGTCAAGAAGTCCAGTGACATGGTTATATATCGGTTTCTCAACGGCAACACCACTCTTAAGAGCTTTGACTTGCTCATACATGAGATCAAAGTCATTAGCTCGTGGGTCCAAAGCGGTGACTTTTTGCTCTTTGCGACCGTACCTGTCCAAGGAATGGTAATCGTCAAGACAGATCACAGTGGTCGTGTCGCTGATGAGTGTGTTGGAATCAGGGTTCCCGCCTTTTGGTGGCTTAGCAGCGCCACCGAAGACGCTGGTGAGCCTCCGCATAAAGGTACTTTTGCCGCAGCCAGAGTCGGCAGCTAGTCCGATCACGATGGTTTCTTGTGCGCAAGTGATGAGTGTGTTGAATCTCCGGTTGGTTTGTGGTTGACGACGGTAGAGGAAAACTTGTTTGGAGGAGGAAGAAGAGGTTAAGAAATGAGTTGAATTAAGAGCTTGTGTTGAGTAGATAGTTGAGACAGCCATTGTTGTTTGTTTGGTGTTTGGTTCCCTCTTCTTCTCCGCCTAAGCTCTTTTGTTTGTTTAGTTTTGTGAGCTCAGGTTGAGTGATGAGGATTTAGGATAGAATGAAAGAAATGTGGGTAATGATTTTTGATTTTATGGGTTTTTGTGTGGTGATATAAAGATGTGGTTTTTTTTTTTTTTTTTGAATAAAGATTAAATGGGGAAAGAGAGAAATGAGAGGAGGACAATGGGTCTATAGGAAAAACAGATGGCAATTTGCAGAGAAGAAAATGAGTTTTATTTTGTTTTGTTTTGGTTTAATGTGGTTGTGTAATGAGTGGCTCATGTTTTGGTTTCTTGAAGTAAAATACTTTGTAATGTTGATTAGTCTCTATGTTAAAGATAATTGTTGATAAGATAAGAGGATAATAAAACATTTCTAGCCATAAAAACCACTTGTTTACTTCATGAAGTAATTTTCTTAAGTAAGATAATAATTGGAGGATTGAGTTTGGGAGAGGAGTGGAGTTGCCGATGAAGTGATAAAAGTAACAGGGCATGGAGGGAGATGCTTGCTTGGTGGTTATTTGCTTATTTTTTGGGTTTTGGATATTTGAATTGACACGTGGAGGATTCTAATTGGAGGGATGGGGATTAGGTGTTTAAGGTCTGAAGATGAAGGAGAGTGTATTATGTGGGGCACATTGACACGTCGGCGTATATCCCCTCAGCTTCGAATCTTTATGGTATTTGAACAACTTACCTTTTCATGCATTTATTTTTTCTTAGGGATCAAAGCCTTCTTGCGTTACCTTAACAATGGGCTTTCAAGCCTTGAATTTTATTACGCATGAATTTCAGTATTTCACCATACGGTAATTATTATAAGAGACATCAGGATTTAAAAAAAACAAAATCATGGTTTATCGACCACGATAGTATCGGCACTTGTTGCATATTCTTGGACACAAAGTGAATGTAGTGTCCTCCATACGTTTTCAATGTCAAGCATGAAAAATATATACGGGTCAGATAGGTACATAACCAAAATAGGAGAATTTCTTAGGTTAATTTGACGAAGATGCATCTCTCTTGGTGTTTGCTAATAAAAAGAAGTCATAAAGTTCAGAATAATCTACTCTGGTATACGCAAACGTAATGATAATCATAATGACCAGATTCTAAGATTCAGACCGAAGTGAGTAGTAATAAATTCATGGCTATGATTTTTTGTCTTAATAGACTACTACGTCGAAAAACTCCCAAACGTTCAGAGACGATATTGGTATATTACAGACCAGAGGAGAACAGAAAAAAAAAACCTATAGAAATGGCCGAACAAAACCACACTCTCTTGCTGCTATAGTAACTAAAGAATTTACCTCAATCAACACAACGCATCAATGGTAAAATGGTAATTACATTCATACGAGATACACTTCAAACCTTTTCTTGTAAGGGAAAAATTACCATCATCTTCCTCTCTATCTCCTTTTCACTTGTTTCCCCTAAAGTAGAGGTAAATTTTCTGCAGAGCCAAAATGGGAAACCCGATCAGTTCAGATGTTAACCGGTTCATTCAGTGTCAACAGTTTTTGAAGAAGCCATGAAGAGTATGAATCAAAGGCTTACCTGAAGAACCCATAGACTCAGAAGTGACTCCAAACAGAAGAGACCGAATCCGATAAAGTAGAAGATCTGCAATCATTCATTAGCATCACACACATTGAAATATATTATAGGCGTTGTGATGAAATATAAAATGGATGTATGGCTCGTACCCCGGCTAATAAACTGTCTGAGATGACATCAATTGCTGCAAGCACACCCCTGTTGATCACAAAGACAGTGGGAACAATGTTAATCTCAAGGTAACAAAACATAGAGAGACACGGAATCTTCTAAAGTATTACAATATAGAGCATTAATTTGACGATTGTAAGGTTTTTCTGACCGCAAAATTTTTACAGAGGTGAAAAACACAGCAAGATTCTCACTTTTACTGGTAGTCATAATTCCCATTCTTAAGTAACAACTCCATATTAATAAACCTATCAGAACAACTTAGAACTTTCTAATTAAAGCCCTCACTAGACTAACCAACTACATATGAAGTAACAGAAAACTCGAACGTATAGTAGGCTAAGGCTATTATTGGAAGGCTTACGTTAATGATTTTCCATGGAAAAAGATCGGAGGGGCAATGGCGGCAACAATGCAAAAGCCAATGTGAATCTGTGAAGAGCTAAGGTCAATCATATGGAACATGGGAAGTATATCTGCTTATAGGTAAGATATAAATTGTTTTTATAAACTCACCAGGTAGGTGAAGAAAAACCAACCAAACTTCAAAGCGCTGTCAGTCCTACAAGGTAGTAAAAAGTATTTCAATTATATGACCTGGCTTTTTAAACATTATCAATGCGCGGTAGAAATGGACTCATATTTGTATTAAAACGAATGGAAGGGAACTAGTTAAAAGGAGTATTACCTCATGGCTCGGTAGAGTGGCCTGTACCACAGTACGTAAGAAAGTGGACATCCGATCAACGCATATATCGTGGCCAGGAAGAAGATTTTAACACCTATCATTAATATTTGAAAATCAGTACTAGTTCAATCAAATCCAAGCCAAATTTCATAAAAATAGTTACACTCAAAAAATAAAGTATTATAATAATATAGTGTAGGCTCACCTCCGCCTTTAATCCAGCAGACCATCGTTGCAATGACATTGAATACCAGACACAGAACTATACCTGAAATTTTAAAACTCGAAGAGTCAAATACAATCCCATCAATTCATCACATTAGATACATGTAATAAAAAAGACAGACAAACTAAATTAGACTTACCTAACCAGCTAGCGAAAGCCAGATACTGCAGCTTTTGTGCATGAACTGGTATCTCTTTAGCAATGTCATGGTGTATGATGGGGAAAAACGGTGGCCAGTTTTTATCATCTATCTGCACACCAGCTGCAACACAATTTAACAACTACGGTTAGTTATCATCCACCACGACATTTACAGAGATATATCGTTCAAAGCGAGTCAAAACTAATGAATAATATAGTCATCAAGTTGACATTTGCTTACATTTAGCAATAGCATCCTCTCTTCGCTTGATATCCTGAGAGAACATTATACAAAAGAACATCAATCAATAGAAATTTAAGAAGCACAATGAAGATATGTTTGACAAAGTCATATAAATGATACAAACCATTTCTTTCTTCCTCAGCTCAGCTTCCCAGTCAGCAAGCTTCCTCTGTTTCTGTGAAGAGTCCTGCACCAATCAAACACACATGTAAGATAAATTCCAGTGAGAAATGTTCATGAATCCAGAGATATTAACCGCATTACATTCATATTATCCAATGGAATATCAACAGTAGCATCAAGGCTTTGGCCATATTCAACTGGTCTAGATGCAGCAGGAACTCTTCCACCACCTTTCTGCAAAATTAATCAAAAATTACAAAAAAATCAGTTAACTATCAAAGGTCAAGCACCAATAACACAAAGCATCACTGCATCAAGCATATATAAGACAAATTTTAACCTAGTTTCCAGATCCACATATATAGTTCAGTATCACGAAGAAACATCGAGAGATCCATAATCTCAACACTGTTAAAGATCATTTCGAATTAGAAATGAGCCTTTCGTAGTCAAACAAAGTCCACAGTCCTCAGTTTTCTGCTATATTCCATTTCGACCAAAACTAAATAAAAACCTTCAAATAAGAGAGAGATCTGGATTCCTCTACCGTCGCGAACGCAGAAAATCCCAAAAATCGACAAAAATAGAGAAGAAAGAGAAAAAGTATTTACCGAAAAAGGATTGACGATTTCTTCTTCCTCATCGAAAGGATTGGGATCGTGGTGGCGATTCATCGTTGGTTAGAGATGCTAGATTCACGATACTGATAGATTTGTCTCCGATAAGATCGCCGAGATCCGGCGAGAGGTTAAAAGAAAGAGAGAAGAAAAAAGAGAGCGCACCGACTCGACTGTGAAAGCAAACTGATGTGGTTGGACTCTTTTTCTTCTTTTTCTCTCCCACACGAAACGCGGAATTTGGAACTATTGGTATTGACGAAAATACCCCTAAGAAGTATATGGGCCGTTTTGGTTATTTGTTATTGGACTTCAATGTAGGCCCAATTATTAGGGTTGTCTTTTATAATATGATTTGATTTATCATAAAAACGATTAGGGTTCGAAATCTTAGAAAGAAAAGACATTACTTTTTGTTAAAAGAGAAAAAAAAAACGTGATTTTATGCAAGAAATTACTACTAAGAAAATAGAAGTCATATTTGATTATAATAAAACTTGATACATTTGACAAAAAAATAAAAATAAAACTTGATACAATTAACATAGTTAAAACCCAGACAGGGATTATATTTAATTGACGTATAATCCAGTTTCAAATAAAATTCATAATAACACAGAATGAGAATCCCGGATTGATAATTCACGGAAAGCTCAGTTCTAAGAAAGCAACATAACATGATGATCGGAATCTCAAGCTACTAGTGTAAACTACTATACTTGAGAGATCTGGTACGTCGGATTTGCGTCCCCTGGGTCTGGGTGCTTAATCTTCACCATGCAAATGACCTCTACTAAAAAGAAATACATAACAACCAAGAACCAAACAAGCCATAGAGGGGCAACGATGAGAGTGAAGATGGGAGAAACAATGGAGATGAGCATGAGAGCTGCAAGAGCACCAAAGAGATGGCTGATGTGTCCAACGAAGTGATGGATCGTAGCTTGGTTTCTTTTGAGCTTTACTTCAGTGACTCGGAGGACGGCGTAGATCAGAATAAAGACGCAGAAAGAGATGATAGTGGCTTGACGATCTGCAGCATTGATTGAAGCTGAGGAATTCTCTTTGATCTGCAGCAAACCGATGGCTCCGCCGTTGATAACAGTGATAAGGTTGTGTACCGCGGAGGAGTAAACAGCTTCTTCATCCGTGTTTTTATCGCCGGAGTTCGAAATTGGGCTCTGTGTACCGGAGGACGACATGGCTATATTGTTGGTGGGTATTTTTTTCTTCGGGTCTCGTAGGATTTTGTATTTAATTATTTATAGGGGCCGGGAAATGAGCGCAGCTGGGAGGAAACAACGAGGAAGTTGATTAACGAGGAAAGTTGCCTCTCCTATAGGGTAGTGCAATAGCGGAGTCAGAAATATTTCTTATAGGAGTCAATATATTAATATAAATATATAATAATATTATTACTTATTTAATTAAAATAAAATTTTATTGCTGATTTCTAAATATATGTATCGCTATAACATTTTTTTAATAGAAGAAAAATATTATTATTGCTATAAACACATTTAATTATAGTTGTTTTGAAAATAAAATAGCTATCATTTTGTATATACGTAACTTTATAATTTTCATACACACCAAAAAAAAAAAACTTTATAATTTTCATCGTTTTCTATTTTTAAAACTAATCAAAAATAATGGTGAGGAAAAGTTGTATGAATTATCTTTAACTAATTTTCTCAATATTGTTTGATATAGTTTAGTGTGTATATTGATTAGTTGATACTTAAAAAGTAAATTCTTTTTGATTGAAAGCCATATTTAAAATATTAGAAAAATTAAAAGTAATTATAAAATTTTAATTCATATACAGAGAGTAAGAAAAAAAAATATTTAAGTGAAAAGGAAAACATGAAAATTAATATGAAAAAAGGATGAAGAGTTAAATACAGATTACATGTTAACTCAAACATAAACATCAAAAAGATGCAATTGAAGGAAGCCAAATTTTGTTAATGGTGTTTAATTGTTTATGGTATATTGAAGTAATAATGTTGCACAAGTATTAAGGAAAGTAATAGAATCTCAACGTGCAAGAATAATATCTATATACAAGGTTAGTTGTTGACCGAGTATTGACTATTTAATCAAGTAACAATAATATTCACAAATATTTATTAGTCACCATAAATTTTATAGAAAAATTAGGAAACCATGTCGTCCTCCGGTACACAGAGCCAAATTTTGTTAATGGTGTTTAATTGTTTATGATATATTGAAGTAATAATGTTGCAGAAGTATTAAGGAAAGTAATAGAATCTCAACGTGCAAGAATAATATCTATATACAAGGTTAGTTGTTGACCGAGTATTGACTATTTAATCAAGTAACAATAATATTCACAAATATTTATTAGTCACCATAAAAATGTTTGTTAAATTGTTTTTCATGATCTAAAATGTCCATTAATAACTCAAGGTTGTTAATTTCCTTCTTTGAATATCATAATTTTTATATGAAATTTATACTAATCACCAAAACTATTTTTTTTACACAACAATGACACTAACACAACATATTACTAGACTACACATCTTATGGTCAATTTAATTATCTATTTTTTTATTTTGTAATATTTTTGTTAAAATTTTAGTTTACAAGTTTTGCTTAAAGTTTTGTAATAGATTTATTAAAAAGTCTTAAATATTAAAATAAAATTTTGTATTATATTTATGATAAATTATTTAAATATTAAAATTTTGTATTATATTTATGATCAAAAGTCCTATAAGTCACTTTCTCTGCTTATTTTGTTTTTGTTTTTTCTACATGGTAGTGGTAGGGCACAGAGATCAGTTTTGGCTTTAGACTATCTACAATGCAGGTGTCTTATCGTTTAAATATAAATTTTAAATGTATATTAAAGTTAAGAATTCTAATATTAAAAATGACATCGTGATAGATCGGTTTCAATTAAAGAATTAGAATTTGGGTGTATTATAACCCTCCTCTCTTATCTGAATATATATTATTTAAACATCTCTCTAATGTTATATGTATTGAATTAGTAGTTAATATATAATTAAATTAACTACATATGGATGATACTATATATAACATTTAATTGTGATGGTTCATCATAATTATAAAAAGGTAAGTAACCACATGTTTTTAATAGTTCCAAATTATGTAAAGTTTTATGTTATTCAATCAACGATTTGTGAAAATCATATCAAACATTTGTTTAAGAAAATTCCACTGAAAGTTTTTCTTTTTAAAACGTTATATACATTTTTAGTTTCAAAAAGGAACAAAACGATCACATATGTTTAGTCTGCGTTGAACCGACGCGAGATAAGTTTGCCTCAAAGAAAATGATCTTGATTTCGTTGAAAGTGTAGTCGTACGCCACGGCGGAGAGGATGAAAACAAGTCATATAAGAAGACGAAAGCAAAGGCCATGACAACGACCTTTTTATACCTAATTGTTTTTAAATGTTTTATAACTATTTTTTTTTTTGTTAAAATATGTTTTATACCTAAATTGATAATCATTTTTTCATGTCCTTTATTTTTTAGTTTTTTTATTTTTCCTTACATACATCTCGTTTCATTATTTGCCAAATATTCACAACGATGGAATATATTTAAATGTCTTCATAGTGATTAAAAGCTCTTTACTTGTACAAGACTTTTGATATCTAAATTAATTTCCAAATGTGGAAGCATCGTTGATCCATTATTTAAAAGTTTAAAGGCTTTTACATTAGGGTTCGAATTCTAGATAACATAATTTCTTTCAGATTATCGATGCAAAGTTTACCGGAAGTTTCAGAGTACTGCAGGAAGAGTCGTGGTCTCGTGTGTTACAGAAAGAACATGTTTATCGGATGTTGTATATGTAGAACCGTCCGTTTTGGATTCGAACGTTACAGGGTGAGTTGCATCGTAGAATCGTTGTTCGTGAAAGTTGTTCATCGTAATCGTATATGTTACATGTAGTCTACATCATAATATAATTAAATCAAATATTTCTAATTCTGATGCCATAGATCGATGACAAAAAAAAATTATTTCCAATATTAGATAATAGAACTCGATGCAGTCTACATACTTTATACTGCAAATGACATTTAGTATCGTTCATCAACACGTGATATCATAGATGGCTCTAAAATTTATGAGGCCTAATCTAAAAATATATTTTGGGGTCTCTTCTAAGATACTAGTTTTTAATGGGAATTAAGACATATTTATACATTGATGGTTTTTTTATAAGTCTTAGAATTGGGAGCCTTATTAGACCATTGTTTTCCCTTTACCTGGTCTCTAGGACCGACCTTGCGTTATAGTATTATAATTTTTGCAAGAATATAATTTTCTTTTTAGTAAAACTTCCGAACTTCTCTTGAATCTATTTTTTTTTTCTAACTATCATTATGTTTTTAGATTTTTAAATCTTTAGATTTGATTGGTAAACTAAAAGAATCTTCCACTCAATATTTATGTATTACCTATTTTTTAACATCTTTGAATCGATAAAGTCTAATCTATAGTCAATCCCTACTATGCGGGGTAACGCGATTTAGTGGAGTCGAACTCCGGTGGAGAAAGCGGAGTCAAATGGAGTTAACCATTTTACTAAAGGCGCATCCTCATGTATTACCTATTGGCTATAAAGACCTAAACGATATTTGTCATTTGTCAAACCAAACGAGATGTGTTTTACTTTTACTGATTCAAATTAATGAACGACAAGATTTTTTGGGCAAAGAGGAAAAAAACAACAATTTGTGAAGAAACCTCAAAATGGAAAATTAATTAAGGTCTTTTGAAAGGGAAATTTTTTTCTTTTTTTTTGGTTTCAGGTAACCAAGCAAAAACCGTCTTTCTTACGCAAATGGAACTCAAAAAAGAAGAATCAAATTGAACATTGCTTTTAGTGAAAGTAGAATCTGTCGGTCATTGAACTCCATCAATCAATTTGAGGTTCCGGTAACCTTATGTGATATTATTGTACATGTGGGCCTTTTGGTTCGTGTGAGAATGTGTGGTACTCCAATGCGGGTATGCTTGTAGCTGAAGCCTTGTAGGAGATCGAACCAGAATCAGGTGGCGAATATAGAAATTGAAAATAGGACTCGTGAATCGTGATGAAAAGTTTAATGATTATATATATAATAATAGGCTTTGTAGCTTTCACTATAAAATTCGAAATATGACTTGTGATTTTAGGAGCTTTCACTATGACTCACGAAAGTTTAAAAGCTTTGTATGGCGGGCACACATTGTCGTTCGCTGATTAGGTGGGGTCGCTCCTCACATGATAATTCGTACGACTTTAAATCTTAGGAAAATATATGTATGTTTATAAGTTATTTGAATAATATATTCTATATTTAATTTAACATATATGATCTCTTTTATACTAAACAAAATAAATTAAATCAATATATTCTTACGATTGTCTAGCTATGCCTGTAATTTTGCCTCAACATGGAAAGAAACAACAAAACTTTCGCTAGAAAATAAAATAAAAATGAAAATGCTTTTTAAAGTGAAAATAATTAATAAAAATAAAACCATATACGCGGACAAGAACAACAAGTGGAGATCTGCCTTTTTGTCAATATTCATGTCATGATATTAAAGAGGAGAAACAAGAAAAGAAGAATGACTCAAAAATGGTCCAAAGGAATGTCATAAAGTGGAGATCGTCCGTCTCTCTTACTCCTAATTCAGTACTTAACAACTTTATGATAATATTAACCAGAAATAAATTTGTGAATATAATCCATGAATCCCAATGTCTCATGTTTATGATACCTACGTCTCATATATATTTTGAGAAATTCCGCCATGTGCAGTTTACTTTATGCAACTATGCAACATTAACCGTAAAATAAAATGAATTCTATGACTGGTTGGAGTGGAAAGTAGGTTATATTATAATATGCTTTCGGCATATATAAAGAATTTATAGAAACTTACGAAGATTCCCTCTCAAGGAAATTGATGTATTTTTTGTTTCTTTTTGGAGTTTTACCACTTTGGTGGTAGTTTAAGAAATAAACTAAAAATAGAAGTGTAGGAAATTTCTCTAACATTTTCATTTCGTCACTTTTGATTCCACAATCATGTTAATTCTATTTTGTCCCTATCTACTAGAAACGAACATATCATTATTTGTATATTCTGTTTTGTTACTGATAGTCACCTTTAATTACTCGGCTCTTTAAAAAATAGAGTATCCATCAGTTAAGGATTTATAAAAATAAAAATAAAAACATACGTAGATCAAAATGGCTTATAAAAGTAACAGTTTTTTTTTTGTGTCTTTAAGGTAATCAACGAATAACCGTTTGAATCTTACATGTAACCGGAAAATCGAATGATAAAAAAAAAGGGACAGATAACCTGCGAAATACAGTACTAATATATTGGTCTGGTCATTTAGAGAACAAAGGAACGCACGTGTATGTGTGTGATAGATTTTGTAGAGCATTTATTTAATCGAATGACCAGTAGTTCCCACAAAAAGAACCGAATCGACAGAGTATATATGTACGTCCAAACTCAAAAAGTCACAAACAACAGACAACGGTCTCCAATAGTATACAAAAATAATTTAATACATAAATCTTATTTTATTTAAGAGTTCTTAAACCAGACGCCCGACCATGCATGGGAAACAATAGTAAGAAGTACGTAAGAACTATATACACATATCAAGATCAAGCTACCAACCATTGGGAATTGAATATATCGCGGACGATCGACTTGATATTTCACACCGGTGAATCTGCCGCGTCATCCTCCGGGAATACGAGCTCTGAGAAAGAGACATACATAACAGCGACGAACCAAACAAGCCACAGAGAAACAGCAACAAGAGCAAAGGTTGGCGAAATTAGATAGATAAGCGTGAGAGCTGCGAGAGCACCAAAGAGATGGCTTACGTGCCCAACGAAGTTACTGATATTAGGTTTGTTTCGAAGCTTTACTTCGCAGACACGAAGGATGGTGTAGATAAGAGTGATGACCAAGAAACAGAGGATTATGACTCTACGGTCTGCTTCTTTGGTTGATGATTGGTTTGTGACCACCTGAAGCAATCCCATAGCTCCGCCGTTGCTAAAGATGATAAGCCTGTGTACGGTGGAAGAGTAGGCACCGTGCTCCTCCTCCTCCTCCTTCTCCATGATCTCATTACCGGAACTCATGCGCTGTGTGATTTGATCAGAAGACAACATGGCTAATGGTTAAGGTTTCCTTCGCCTTGTGTATATCGTCGCAACACAGCTTCGCATATATATAAGGGATCCATGAGATATTGCGGTCCACGTAGAAATAACTAAAGTTAAATTGTCATGAATAACTATTGGAATCTTGTGAAAAACTACGCTTCATTAAAGTGTTTATTGTCTCTTATTTTTGTTACAGTACTACTTATGTATACGTATTTCCTAGTCCTTATTGGTTTGCTGGTCACATTTATAGAATCTTTAATGTGGTGTGGGGCAGCACTCCCATGTGTTAGAGGTTTTTTTTTGGATCAATAACGTATATAATTTGTATTTTCTGTACACCAAATTAATTATAATATTTTATACAAATTAATCGATGAAGAGTAATCACAAATAATAATTTTAAAGCAAAACTCGGTCATGGTTTTTTAGTATCTTAGGCATGCTAATAATGTATTAGGAGCGTTTCTCGTAACCTAACTATAACAACTGACTATATATATTTACTAACAATCTAACATCGTTGTCCTTTTTTGGTGAAAAATATATGTTGTACTTCTCGTTCGCAAACGGGGTTCACCACCTGTCCTATTCTAACCGGTGGATCCTAATATGTGCATGATAAAGAAATATTAATATATTAAACGAAAAGATGATTGAATAATTCTTTCGTAATGCATGGATGATGGATTGGTGATCTAGATTGAGCTCAGTTTAATTATCGTAAGGCACACAAATGTCTATATTTTTAATTACTCAAAGCATTATTATCTCGTGATGTTTTTATTTTTGGGTTGCCTTATTTATAATGAAGTTGAAATGACAAATAGCTTCCGAGCTGTGGAAATAAGGAGTGGAGGGGTTTGGGAAGTCCTTATTAAGTAGGGTCGGAGCTGTGGAAATAATAAGGAGTGGAGGGGTTTGGGAAGCTTCCAAGAAACCAGTGGTTTCTTGCCCTAGGGCCCATGAAATTGTTGAGCCGGCACTGGAAACCACAAATAGCTTCTTATTTTGTTTTTTTTTTTTCTTGTCTGATTTGAGCGTCGGAGAACCGTGAGAAAACACTCCAACATTCCTTCCATCGTGTTTGTTATGACGTGGGAAATCTTACTTTCAAGTGGACAATTTACACGACAAAAAATCCGAAACATATAGATTTGTAGATTTTGTTTGATTGTAGAATAATACTATCAATTGTATAGATATTTTCACCTTTAATAAAAAAAATTTTAATTCTTAATACCAATGGTAAAATGTGTAAGTTTATCAAACTAAATTCTATAAATGTACTTTCTTTTTAATATATAAGGTGTAAAATGATTGTGACAAATAAAGATGTAAAATGACTAACCCTAACTAAAATCCCTTAATTCCGATGTAATATTCAATTTCAGTTTCAATCTTTCCCTTCGAAATTTTTGAAATCCTATTTTATCTTGCAAAAAATAATAATTTTAAATAACAATTATCTTGATCGAAATCCTTTGAAATCCTGTATGTGGTGACTCTTCAGCAAGCAAGAACTTTCTGGTACTTTCTCTTCCAGCTCTTCAACTAAAAACCACGTCCTCCTTTTTCTTATTATATGAGCAACAAGTTCTTCCTTGTTTTAGTGGGTACACTAGATAGGTCCTCCTGTTCGAATTAGTGGCCCAACTAAATAAACAAACAATTATAGTGAAAGAGCTCGCTTTTTAAATTTTATAGTTAAATTTGTTTAGATATAAAGTCATATCTTCTTTATTAGTTTAATGATACTAAAAATGTATTTGTTTGATCAATACGTAATTTTTTGATTCAGGAGCAATATCTAATAAAGCAAATTAGATATTATCAACAATGTATCTAGAGACTTTGACTGTAAGAATTGTAATTACAAATTCAGAAATTCTAAGACCGGTGGAAAACCTTGGTTGAATACTCTTTGCTTGACCCCACTCTTTTCACGTTCGGTGGCTGGCTAGCTTCATTCTCGTCCCCTTAATTTAGATTTTTGAATATTTGAGTGGTTAAAGAAGGTTAGTTAAAGAAAATAGTTTTACACTAATTCAAAATTTATTTGGATTCAATGTCTAAAGTTGTTTAGTAATGCCCAAAATTAGTATGGTTTATAATTCAATACTATTTAATTGATGCAGCAAGTGAGTAGTTACGTTCGACCACTTAGAGCATCTCCAATGGAGAGAGTCCCTCCATGGGCTCTCTCCATTTTTTATGATTAAATTTTGTGAAAATATGAGATGAGAACTTTTGTTTTTTTTTTTAAATTTTTCATAGTCCAATGGTAGGTTCTCAAGTGGGGTTCTCCTAAAAAATAAAATTATTAAATATTTTATTTTATAAAATTTAATAATTATTGCAAGTTATAAAAATATTAAACATACATTATTTTAAAACATTAAAAAAAAATATGCAAAAACAAAACCGGAATAACGATTAGTTGCGAAATTTTTGCCATATATGTTCAACCAAATCAGCTTTCAATTGTTGATGCATATCTCGATGACGAACTCGATTTTGAATGCCAATATATTCCCGAGATTTGTAGGCATACTTCGATAAGTTTAATATCTTTGGTTAAACAAATGTGTATAAGTTTCAGAAATTTAAAATACAATGTTCATGATCAAGAACATAAACTGATCTTATATAACATTGCTACTTAATACGTACATTTACAGATTGTATATGTTCGTATTATACCAAAAACCTCATGTATCTTTATATCAAACTGCTTCAAATCTAAATACAAAAACAAAAAGAACATCACTAGAGACGATTTATAAAAAGAACATTTATAAATTGTATATGTCCGTATTATACAAAAAAGGAGATCATCGATCATAGTCATCATCTCCTTTAAACAAAAGCTTCTCATCTTCAGTAGATCATAAGGAAGAGTCTAGAGCAGGAGCATCCTTTCATGATTCCGAGCAGGAACATCCTTTACACGAAGAAGAGAACATGTCCCATGGAACATCACCAAACCAACATCCAATCTCCATCTTTATCCTCGTACGTTGGTACAAATCCAATCTCCATCACCATAACCTTTCTTTTTCCTACTACCTTCTATAATAAAAAACCACCAAAATATCACTAAACCAACACAGAAAGATCCAACAGCTTGAAGATAACATGTTTACATTTTACACCTCATTTTTTATTCAACATGTACATTCTATACTAATCTACTTTTTAATCACTCAACATTAAGTAAAGATATCACAATATGCAGAGATAATAAAAGAACCAAATCCAATGAATGGCAATAAATAAAGGACGTTGAAAAATCACGAGAATCATATCTACTACATTACACAAGAATCTCTCTAGCCATGAATCACTCTCTGCTTCCAAATTATCAAACCTAACTTTCTTCAAAACTACAATCTTCCCAGTCAATAAATTTTTCGCCTTGTACACATTACTATAAGTTCCTTGCCCAATCTATAAGAATCAAAAACATTACATCATTCAAATAAACCAAACATAGAACTAATCAAAACAAAACAAAAGGCTTCCTAATTATACCAAACCTTGTAATGGTTATGCTTAAATATACAATATAGTTTGGTTTTACCTGTCAAGTAGACGCATAGTAGAATCCAAGCAACCAGCTAAAACGCAGTTTCCATCATTTGATATCGATATACAATTAACTGGTTGATACATCCCAAGAATAAACTTGCCGATCACCACCACATGAACAAAATTGATCAATATAGGCCTAACGCAATACTTCTTTGATTCATACACTGAAAATAACACAAGAAGATCGATCAGTCTTAAGCAAATTCCTAATTTACGAAACTATGAACCCTAGTTTGTAAAATTCAAAGAACCCTAAAAAAAACATCAAATTCCCCAAATTAAATCATTATAAACTGCATATAAAAGAAGTATATGCTCTTACCAATTACAATTCAACCTGAATCGATTACTCTCCATCCGTTGAATTTGGATATCCGATTTGTATATCTCTCTCACTCCCGATCGTGACATGCGGTGGGGCAAATGACGAATCCGGCCTAATCGTCGCCGGCGGCCTCTCTATTCTTCCCTCAATCGTTGCCGGCGGCCTCAATCGTTGCCGGCGGCCTCAATCGTGACCTCAATCGTCGCCGGCGGCTTGAGAAAAGTGTTTGGTTTCGCAAAGAAAGAGAGAAACAGGAGAACAGTCGGGAAATGACAAAAGTCTTTGGCTTCTTTAATTTTTTTTTTGACGCGTTTGTTTTTTTTTTTTTTTGATCAAAACAATCGACGGTTGAGATTAAGCCACGTCATCGTCTCTCTTCCTACTCAAAGTTTCTCTCAAGAGAGCTGTTTCTCTTAAAAATTCAGAGTTTTGATTTATTTTTCAGCATTTTTTTCAAGAGAAACTTAGAAGAGAACCCTAAAATACATCCATTGGAGATGCTCTTAATGAACCTTTAAATATCACTTAGGAAAAGTATTATAATTAATATAATGATCAAAATGTCTTTGCCTTTATATATTAAACCGTGGTCACAAATGTGACATTAATATTTCATTTTACTTTTAACGTTTCCGATCATCTTCGACAAGCTACCTCGCTCCTAACTCTGCAATTGTTTTAGGAGAATCAATTGCTTACAAGCTCTCCACACTTTGTAACAAATGCATCTAAATGAAAAATTGCATGAGATCAGCTTTCACATGCAAAAAGACATACATGATGTTGTGGCTCTCCACTCGAATGAAATTAATATGTGAGATTTCGTAATTCTTCAAAATATGCACGAGTGTCAGCAAAAGATTACATTATATTTTTACCAAAAAAAAAAGAAAAAAAGATTACATAATAAATGCAGATGTAGACAGATGCACGTAATGTTTTTCTCTGAAAACCCTCTAAAATCTCTCTGTTCTAAGAAAAAAACTATACAGACGGAACTTAACATTCATACCCAAAAACAAAAACTGCAAATTTGGTTCCACCACTGTCCTAGTTATCTACACCATCCCCTTGGTCTGTTTATTACGTCACTGACTTCATATAAACCGTTTCGATTGTTCATGCATTTAACTTTTATTATGCTATTACGTACCCTTCATCCATAGATAAACCACGAGATATTAAACCGGTGGCAACTGAGGCAAACCGGTGCCAGATTTGTATTTCTCCGAATAGATGATCATGACCTCACTGAAATTTTTGTAAACGACAGTGAAGAGCCAGAGAAACCAGAGAACAAGTAAGACCATAGCGAACGCGGCAGAAACCACGTAGATGAGCACTAAAGCGGCTAGACCGCCAAAAAGATGGCTCGCGTGTCCAACAAGCCTCATGACTAACCCTGGTCGTAGGCGCACGTATATGGCTTCCCGGACGCGAAGAACGGCGTAGAACAGAACGAGAACACAAAAACTGAGGAATGCGGCTTTATGTGTTTCCAAAACAGAGGACTGTTGGCTAACAAGCTGGAGTAACCCTAGAATTCCGGCGTTGACCATGACCACGACTTTGTGGACTGCGGAGGAGTATATGGTGAACTTGGCCGTTTCATCGCCGGAGATGGGAGTTTTTGGTTATTGGCGGAGTCAGTCTCCATATCTTGTTATTCTTTTTTGTGTTTTTCTTTTTTGACATCTATCTTATTATTCTCTTTTGTTTTCTTGATCTTTCAACAAGATAGCTATGAGACGTTTTATAAGGAGAGGAAATGCCAATCCATTCGTTCGAATGAAATGATGACCGTCGGATGATTAAGATCTACCGTGGCCTGACTTTATTAGTATACCAAACTCAATATTTTTTTTTCAGACTGCTTTTCTGAAAGTAACATCGGTTTGTTGTCGCTTTAAACACCCGAAGGTTATTACTCTTATTGTAATCCCTTAATTCATACTAAAGAACAAGATATATAGAGAGAAAAACATTACGTTATAATATTAACAGCAAAAGAGAAAAGAAACATTACATTATAAATTAATAAATGCAGATGTAAAACAATTTTAAGTTCAATCTTTCCCTTCGAAATTTTATGCATCAAAAGTGATGATCTTGATCAAAATCCTTTTCAAATAAATACCCTTGCGTTCCTTTCCTTGCAAGGTCTTCATTTTCTTCCTTCCGTGGACTTTTCTTTCCAGATTTTTCTTATTATATATATGATTATCGTTTATTAGCGCACTAACGAAATCCGCTAATCGAATTAGTTTCCCCAATTAAGAAAAAAATATGTGTAGTCCTCTCACAGGGTCCCACTTTCATACTAATAATTTTTGAAGAATATGTAAAATTATACATAAAACTAAAATTTATTTCTGTTAAGATATAATCCTTATGTTAAAATGAAATGAGTAATCCTATAAAAAAATTCAAAAACAAATTAGATGCTCTAATATTTTGATTAGCCTGTTAGTTTTCCAACCTAACAATTTGTGAATATGTCTAAGTTCGTTACTGTTTACATTCAAGTATGATCAAATGTATGTCAGTATGTGGTGGACAAAAAAAAGATGACTTTCTCTTATAGAGTGAAAAATGACGTTGTCTCTTTTTTAGCCTTAAATCCCAAAGGATTATATAGAATGTTTTGCCTCTTTTTTAGCATTGTTTAAACCTCATATATTAGAGAAAACAGAGGATATTTTAAATTACAAATGCGGATGCGTATATCATTAGAATAAATTATTTTTCCATTTTTAGATCACATACAGTTAGTGGCATAAAAAAAAGATCACATACAGTTTCTAGTTTCTTTTTATTTGTTTTCATGGGTGACCAGCAACGTTTAATAAGAGCATTTGGTGATCAGCAGATTTTTGTAACGAATTGATGATCGTCCGATGAGATGTGATTAGACTTTTCGTATCACATGCATGAACAACAACAAAAACTTTTTATAAAAAAATAAAATAATGTAAACTACAAAGAGCAAAGTATTCAAGCTAAAGATTTGTTTGCCTTTAAGGCCGGCTCTGCTCTGCTCCTGATAAATTGCGGGCGGTGGTGTGGAAATTATGTGTTGGGATCTGGGAAGCTTCAAGGAACATTCGTAACTTACGTACGAATAAACTTCTCATCTTGTTTGACTCCTACCCTTTTGGTTCGAAAATAAACAACACTTCTCATGTTGCATAGGTAAATTATAATTATTTTACTTTAATTGTTAAAGTGATTTTGCACAAATAATTATCCTATAAAAGGAAAGGGAATTACGTGTTTAAACACTTGCAGAGTTTATATGGTTTAACGACTAAACCGGTGACCGAAGCAATTTATTGGAGTTTAAATTTCTTTTGATTGTCCGCATCTTTGTTTAAGAATAAAGAAAAATGAACTAAATCATTAGTCATGACAAATCCCAATTAGGAGCCAACAACATTGGTTGTTGTATGAACCAATATCAATTCAATGAACGTAAATTTAACCAGTAAAATAATATAACCAAAGCATATAGAAATCTAGTAGTAATATGAAAAAAGCACCCGGGAGAATTTCTCATATATACATATAAATAGCCATATATGGAAAGCAGTCTCATCATCTAGTTATCAATTTACAGTCTGCATAAGCCGGTTTGGTCTGTTTACAACGTCACAGGTTTTATTCTTTCAGAATTCAAGAATGGTTTTCTACTCTTTAATTTGTAATATTTTGTGTTGATTATTGAAAAAATTTCTTTAATAAATATAACGTCACTGCGGGTTTAACCTAAACCGTGTTGATTGTTCATCCATTTTACATTAACTTTCATCTCACACCCATCCATACATAAAACCACGAGATGTTAAACTGGTGGTAACTGAGGTGAACATGCACTGGGTTTGTTTGTCTCCAAGTAGATCATGATCATGGTTTCACTGAAAGTGCTGTAAACTACTGCCGAGAGCCAGATAAACCAAAGAATAAGAAGAACGATAGCAAATGCGGCATAAACGACGGAGATGAGCACAAGAGCTGCTAGACCGCCGAAGAGATGGCTCGCGTGTCCAACGAGTCTGGGGACTAAACCGGGTCGTAGGCGCACGTCTATGGCTTCACGGACGCGAAGAACGGCGTAGAATAGAACGAAAACACAGAAACAAAGGAATGAGGCTTTATGTGTTTCCAAAACAGAGGACTGTTGGCTAACAAGCTGGAGTAATCCTAGAATTCCGGCGTTGACCATGACCACGACTTTGTGGACTGCGGAGGAGTATATGGTGAAGTTGGCCGTTTCATCGACGGAGATGGGGAGTGTTAGGTTTTTGGCGGAAACAGTCTCCATGTTTTGTACTTCTCACTTTTGTTTTCTTGATCTTTCAACTTCTCATATCTATGCGACGTTTTATAGGAGAAGTCTAAGAACATATCTTTTGTCTGCATGAAATAATGACCGTCCGATTATTTGTGCTGCAACGATCAAGATCTTACTCGTCTTGACTTTCACTTTCCCCACTTATCTAAAAACGCCGACCGAGTGTTGGTCAAAAGAAAAGATAAAGACAAGAAAAAATGACCGTCCGATGAATTGTGCAACGATCAAGATTTTTCAAGTCTTCACTGTCCACGCCCGACGGTGAAATGGCTTCTTTTTTTCTAGTCTTCACTGTCCACGCCCGACGGTGAAATGGCTTCTTTTTTTCTAGTCTTCACCGCGCGCCCGATGAGTTGTGGCAACCTTTTGTTTTCTTCCTACTCTCCTCGTTTTCATCATATTATTGCAACAATCTTTTAACGAGAAATTAAAACAGTAAAAAACGCTTTAACAAACAAAAGAAGCAGTAAAAATTACGGAATAAGTCAAACCCACAAGAGAGAACTAATAATATGATGTTATTGCAATATCGCTTTTAGTAAAAAACTAGGATCATATCCGTGGTACATCAAGTGTTAATAAATTGTATATAGTGTTGTTTCATTGTATTTAAAATTGTACGTACATTAAATAGTGTTACAGGTAAAATTACACAAAAAGTCTTACTTTTAATATTAACTTCAAGCACACATACAAACACAATAGTATTTAGGAATTAAATCTACATATATAAAAAAAATACACAATAGAGTATATAAATTTAAATCAAACTAGAACAACAAGGAATTACAGGAATTAGTGTGAAATTTTAGAAATAAATAAAATAAAATAACATAAAAAATAAAATAAAAATAAAATAAAATAAATAAATAAGAAATCAGAGAATAGGAAAATCATGAAAGAATTATATGAAAAATTGAAAACATGTAAGAACATGTGCATTGGTGAGTCTCTCACCAAAATCTTTCATATATCAAAGAATTAATAAAATAATAAATATTATTATTTAACTACAAGAGTCTCTAAAAAAAAGTGGAGAGAATCTCTCATAATATTCTCTCATTTGTGAGACTCTTGTAGTTAAATAATAATATTCATTATTTTATTAATTCTTTGTACATGAGAGACTATAGTGAGAGACTCTCATTACACATGCTCTAAGTTTGATAATGATAATAAAAGTTTTTGAAATTAGATTTCTATTATGAATTATCCCAATAGTGTTTTAGTAATAATTTCTATGAAAGAGATTACATAAAAACTAAACTTTTGGTGAGATTTGTTTCAAGCAATTCTGACAAGCTTTAAGACTAGAATTCAATAAAATTCACAAAGTGTGATAACATCAACTTGCGGTTTGTTTGGATAAAATTTTTGTGCCTATCTAATAATAGTGCCATTTTTGGTGGCTTGAAGAATTAGATCGTGGGCAGTAGATGAAATGACCTAATTCAACTAAAGCATTACGAACAATTAAAGATAGAGAACAAATAATTAAAATCATAAAAAATACATATCAAGGTTTTTATAAAAACATTTCCTTTGGAAACCCTAAATTCTTTGATGAGATTACTCACACGTGACTTAAGTACATGTAATCATTGAAGAAGAAGAAGGATCAAGAGCTTATAAGGATTGCCAAATAGTTTTGATAATCTTCAAACAAATAAAACAAAGAAAAAGAAGAAAAGAAGTACACCTTAATAAACTACAAAAGTTATGAAAGAAAGTATGCTCTACGGCTATAGAATGTCTCAGTATTTATACGCATGGGACGCAACCCTAGAAAGAAGAAAAATGAAATTTTAGCAAAACCTAAGCGATCGGTCCACCCCCTGGATCGATTGATCCACCCTTCAACGACCAGAACCGGTTTTTCTTAACCGAATTTTACTTGCTGTTTTCTATACTTGGGTATAAAATCTCCGGAGATCTAATTTTCTATTCACGTTTTGTTTAGAACTTTTTTGAGACTTCTCTTCTGTAAGCTACCTTGGAGACCAGAGATTCATCCTTTTGACAAACTGGAGAAGATTTTTTTAATTACTGTATTTTCTATTTCTATTGCAATACAATTATGTTTACTCCATTGATTTTTTTAATATCTTTTTTGCTATGTGTGAGTAGTCTCTTTATTGGGTTTTAGGGTTCTAAGTAGGGGATTCAATGAATTGATGGATTGATTGTTGTTTGGAGTTCTTTGTCCTTAGGTTCTTTCATTCATATGTTATTAAAGGTAGAATAGGACTCATCACCTTGTTTTAGATTCTAGGTTTTTCCTATGCATCAAAAGTGTTCGATAGAATGCTTGAACCAATGTGAATTGAGCAATGTATTTCTAGCCAACGAGAGTTGACGTTAGGACGCATTGTGAACTTAATGAACTTGTTTGGTAATGCAAATTTGATTAGAAAATTACAAATGAGAGTTTAGCAGTCGAATAGTCAAATTTAGTGATTAATTTCTTGAGAGAGAATTAGTCTAAATGTGTTCATGTTCAGGAACGATGCTTTACTATTGAATTCCTTGTCTCATGTTACTATTACTAGGCTAATACCCGCACAAAGTGCGGGTTTTCCATCCATAATTTGTTAGTTATAACGATTTACATCGATTGAATTAATTTGATAAATAATCCTTTTGGTGTTTTTTTCTAATAATCATTTTGATAGATTCCTCTAACTCTCGAGTAAATAATTCGTTCTATTTTTTGTATTTTAATTTATGTTTAATTACATTGTTTAACACTTATTTACAATTACTTATCTTAAAACCAAATATATATTTGGTTATCTTTAAAATAATTTTAAATAAACAAAAAAATAGTGTTGATTTAGTATCTTATATTTGCATTAAAATAAACCATAAATTCATCTAATATTCATTGGCACTAATCCTATATATATTATAGTATATGAAAACATGAAATAAATTCTAATATCATATTATTTATTTTTATACGTTAATAAAATCTAAAATTTAATTAAAATTCTATTGATTTTATGTTTACACATAAGTTTATACAATTTATAGAGCTAAATTTAAATAATTTAATTTCTATATTAGTTTGATATACTTTTGTAACTAATTAAATTGAATTTACTTAATTAATAAGTTAAATATGTCAATTTTTATATAAACAATAATTAATGTATGATTTAAATTCTTAATTAAATAAAATAAAATAATAAATGTAATATGTTGTGACATATGTCACTCTCTCCACTGCTGACGTGGCGGAAGGATGAAGAGAGTTAGCCAATTTTTATATATATGATTTATTGATCTCTGAAATACCCTATGACCCAATGTCTTTAATTCATAAGTTTAATCGTTTAATTTATTTGTATTTATATTTACGATTCTGAAAACCCAAACAAACTTTCGCTTTAACTAAGAACGAGTCTCGGAAATCCTTAGAGTATTTTTGGTCCTTGTGGATCGACCTCGAATATATATACTACCTAACGGTTAAGTGTATTGAGTTAATTACTCGAGCAATCGTTGTGTCATGTGATTTGCAGTTATGAAAGACCCTCCCTTGAACTCGCCATGCTGGCTCTGTGAAAAATGCAAATGAAACATTCATTGCTAGATTTGATAAATTAATTAAGGAGAATGTGATGAAATGAGGTAATTGCTTGATGTGTTAGAAATCGACCGAAGAATGATACATATAGAGAACTTAGATGTTGAGGGTTATGGTTGAGTCGATTTGAGAAAACTTTGGAGAGCAAATAGAATATCTAAGATACGGAAAACAAAATTGGATTTTTAGCTCAATCACCATGAATGAGACAAATGTTAAGGGAAGATGTCGTGAAGTTTTAGTTTAGAGCTAAGCTAAGAAGTTTACCTTACTATCGGTTGAATCATGTTTAAATAGTTAATAAATGATGTTTTAATTTAGAAATAAAATAATAATAAAAAATGGAGGATATACTAGTTTGGTTTTTTTTTTTTTTTTTTTTTGTCAACAACTATATTAAATTGGCTCAAATGAGCAAATGTCGTGGTAAGTTGTTTACATAGGTAATAAGTTGCGGCTGGGTACGAACATTACGTGCCAGTTTATCCGCTTTCACATTCGCATTTCGAGAAACTAAAGATAATGAGAATACGTCGAACTCTTCCTTGTCGCTCTGAATCGCCTCTAAGTATGTTGCGAACGCTGGCCACTCTTGCGGGGAAGACACCATCTTCACCAGGTCTGAGCAGTCTGTAAAGAAAGCTACTTCTCTCTTGTCTTGGCCGATCATACATCTCATCGCCCAAATTAATGCTTCGACCTCTGTGTGAAGTGAGGTTAAGCTTCTTCGAAGATTAGCAGCTCCCATGTCTTGCGTTCCATCATTCGGGTTAGAACAAAACCAACCTAATCCGGAGAATCGATCACTCTCCTTCCAAGACCCATCTACATAACATTGGTTATTTGGCTCTTCAACGTTGTTGGCTGACTTTTTTGTTTGTTTGAATCTTCTTCGTTTTTACTAATACTTGTATGGTCATTTACTTATTTTTTTACAATCACACTCCTTGAAGATACTAATAGATGATCTGTCTTGTTTCTCGGTTGACGAGAGCGTGCAGTCTCTTGGTTTATCGAACCTTGCCCAATACTTCACTTTCTCTGAATCATCATCAAGAAGTAAGTTCGCATTGATGAATGGCTTAATACTTGCCAGAACAAAAACTTGTCTTGCAAACAAATTTTGTTTCTGATTTTATCATTGTACTCTTTATACTGAGTTTAAAATCATATTCTCAATGTGTACAAAACAACCTTGGTTTACCATGTTGGAGGCATTTACCAAAACACTAGCATGATTTGATCAATTCCATCACACAGAATTTCGACTTCTGGTACAGAGATTAATGCATAACTAAAGTAGATCTAGACTAACCAAGAAACCATATTAATGTCAAAATGTTAATTTCATACCATAGTAAAGATCTGAAACAACAGATCACACTCCTACTAAAACCCTAATTGTAACTAGACCAAAAACCTAATAACCAAAAAAGAAAAGAAAAACTAGACCAAAAAACCACAATCACCGTACGAATAAATCAATCAAGAAACTTGCATAGGCAGAAAGCAAGGGAACAGATACTCTATGCCATGTTCGGAGGAGGAGGAAGAACAAGGGCAAAGCAAAGGATTCCATTTCTACCCCGCCTGAAAGACCAAATACTGATGTCATCGCCTTCTTCCAATACGTTAGCCTCAACGATCTCGTTCCACCCGCAGATAATAGCGTAATTCAAGGTTACTTTCCCTGAATTTTTCTTCATCTTCCGTTTCTTCAAAATCACACCCCACTTTACCTCCCAAGGATCCACTAGAGTCGCTCCAACTCCCTTGGTGTCATCTTCTTCTAGTAGGATTCTCGACTCAACAGGCGTCAAGAAGTCGTTACGAATTAGGGTGTTGAAAGGCATTAAGAGACGGCTCTGACCTGGTTTGATATCTGTTTCGGTCAGAGTCTTCTGATAGATGAGCCTCGGGCCTTCGCTTCCCTGCATTGTTCCCATCATCTTGACCAGCCACTCCGGTGCCTCCTTCCCTATCCATGAATAAGGAGCAACCTTTGCTTTCTTGGATTTACTGCCACTACGGTTTGTCTCAGATTTAGGGTTTGGTGGGTTTGTCATCTCCGTGTTGTACTCCACAAGTAAAGTTGAAGAAGAAGGAGGGTTTTGTGGGGTTATCCTCTTGGAATCAGCCGCGGTCTTGTAATCTCCCAAAAACGATGATGATGAAGAAGAAAGCCCTGGAAGTGGGTTACGTGGGTCAGAAGAATCATCAGGGATCATGCTAAGGTCGAGGAGCGATGAAGAAGTAGAAACCCTATCAAGGTTTTGTTGGTTTTGTTCAGGGTTTCTTACAGTAACAACCGAGGTTCTTCTTTTCTTAGGGAAGAGATGGAAGAATCTCTTGTCACTCTCTTTTTCTTGTTTCTTCTTCTTCTTCGCGTGGCATCTGGATTTTACTTTCTTTGGAAGATGTTTACGGTGTTTTTCATCGTATAACATAACCGAAGCATCCACCAAGTTACAGAAATTACTCGAGCTTCTATCCTTCTCCGCAGCTGCGAGATGATCATTGTAATACATAGCCATCGTTATCGGACCACAAACTCGAAGTTCTAGAGAGAGAGAGAGAGAGTGCCTCTCTTACATTAAATAATCTCTGCTTTTATAAGGGTTTCGAATCAAAAGAGGAGATAAACTAGGAATTGGTAGAGAGCTTATCAAGACTCCTTTATTTACTCGCTACCCAAGCCTTCCAAAAACTTTCCATTTTTTTTTTTTTTCTGTTTCATAATTTTATTTTTTCATGTTCGTACTTAACCAACTGTACTAACGTATAAGAAAATAAGTAAATCTATATAAAATATCTGAAGATATTGCTAAATTAAAGCCATGTAAAGTTTATCTGTTTCTTAAATTAAAAAATACCTAAGATAAATTTTTGACAAACACCTTTCTTAAGTTTAATTTAGCTGGAACAAGAAGAACAAAATATGAGTGCGCCAACTTTCATAACAAAAATTAAACATTGCAATAAATAACACGAAAAACCATATCGTGTTGGTGTGTCAAAGCAAGCTACCAGCCCGCTATGAGCTTGTTCGTCTTTTTCAGAGAGATTGTCGAACAAATTTAGACCTTTAATATGATTTCCTTAAATATGTTTATATCATAAACACATAAATATTTGCAACTAAGTTTTACTCAGTACTTATGTATGTTAATTTAGTTCCTTACATAACGCAGGTAATCATCAAGTATATATATACAATATCTCATTATGTACAATCTTATTATAAAAAAATCAAATGAATATCAATTTTGATGGGACTATTGAAAAATATTTCTTACGGAATTATATATAAATATCTTGATATATTATAATATTAGTTTACAAAATATTGATTGAGTTTACAATAGTCTATTTTTTCTGATAAAATATATAAGATTAATATTAAAATTAAAGTACTTTTTATCAAGCAAATATTTGTTGCGAATTTAAGAACAGCAGTTTCTAAAATAATTTGTGAGACCACACAATAAAATTAATAAATTGAATTTTTGAATAAAACTCACATTTTAATTTATTTTTAAATAAAAAAATTGAATGAAATGTTGACAACTAGATTTTCAGAAGATTTTGTTCTCCTAAAAAAGGATATATATATATATATATATATATATTTCTAATTAATAATATTAGGAAAGATATGAAAAGCTAATTTATTTAATTATAATGGTGTATTTTTTGTAAATGTTATCCTTGGTAAAGGTCTTTATGAAAAACTATATATAAAAAGTTATAAACTATAGGTATCACTTGCTCACCGTAAAGCGATATCTCCGGCCATATTCAATTGACAGACGGTTAGTTCCTCATTCATCCTCCCTCGGTTGTAACTTGTAAGTTTTAATCAAGAAACTCTCATGTTGGTTGATGTACGTTGTCGTTGTTTTTCTTCATCTTCAAGCGATGGAATGCGATAGAACTAGCTCATGTTGTCATCTTAATCGACTTTAAACCCTAGATTTTAATCGACTTTAAAACCCCAGATTTTGGAGTACAATTGAGAAACTCTCATGCAAGGAATAGGGTTTCGTTCTTGTTGTTGATGTTGTCATTGTTTTTGTTCGTGTTTTTTTAGCGATGGAGTGCGATAGAATCAGCTCATTACCAGATCATTTGGTAGCTAAGATAGTCTCATACCTTGGGATCAAAGATTCAATTAAGACAAGCGTTTTATCTAAGAGATGGGAATTTGTCTGGCTAAAGGTTGTGGGATTGGACTTAAAGAACTGTGACTTCCCTCCTAATGGAATAGCCTCCGAGATGGTCGTGAACAAATATTTGGAGTTTAATCGTGGGTTACACATGCAATACTTCAAGGTAAACTATGACGATAACACTGTACGTACCAACAGATTCGTGGACTGGATCGCCACTGCAGTTCATCGCGGAGTTCAACATCTAGATGTTGAGACCGAGAGTCCTGACGATATTATAGAATTCATGCCTAAGAACATTTATAAGAGCAAGACATTAGTTTCTTTAAAGCTTGCAAAAGTTGGGATAGTTAAGCAACAAGATCTTGATGTTTCTTTACCTTGTCTCAAGATCATGCATCTTGAAAACGTTTATTACAAGGATGGTCCTTTGAAGATTATCGAAAAGCTACTCTTAGGATGCCCTGTTCTTGAAGAATTGACCTTGGTGAGAGGTAATTATTTTGATTATGAAGAATCTCAACCTCTTTTGTGTGTGAGGTCTCAAACTCTGAAGATCTTTCGTTTAACGTTCGACTTGGAAATGAGTAGTTCAGTTTTTTCGGTTGAGATTGATGCTCCGGGACTCAAGTATATGAGTTTTAGAGATAGTCAATCCGATAGGATCGTGGTAAAGAATCTGAGTTCCTTGGTCAAGATAGACCTTGATACTGAATTTAATTTCACGTTTGATAGTAGTCCTATTGAACCGGTGGATTTAAGTAAGAGAGATATAATCCGTGACTTTCTCCGTGGTATTTCTAGTGTAAGACATATGATCATCTCTCATCGTACTCTAGAGGTATATACATATACTCTTTGATGCATATGTAACAATTTAAATTTCAATGAAAACATTTTCTCACATCTCTCTTTGTTCTTTCTACTTTGCAGGTCCTTTACCATTACTCCAAACTCGGACCGATTCCCACATTCCAAAACTTGTCTCATTTACAGGCTTCCTTCTCCAGCCCATCTCTACAATTGTTGCCAGCTTTTCTTGAGAGCTGCCCAAATCTGAAACACTTAATCTTGGTAACAATCTTTTTGAATATGTGATTTAGCTTAAGAACATTGTTGAAATATATTGTAAACTCAGTTTGTTATTATTTTTCTTAGGACTCGGTTCCAGAGCAGATCGACCTTAGGAATGTGCCTCGGTGTTTAACATCGACTCTGGAATACGTTAAGATTAACAAACTGATTATGAGAGAGGAAAATGGGATTAAACTAGTGAATTACTTTCTTGAGAATTCAGCAGTACTAAAAAAACTCACTCTAAGTTTCATAGATTGTCCTATGCCTGACAAAGCTTGGGATATTATCATGGAGCTTCTTACATCCACAAAGCTTTCTCACGGATGCCAAGTTATCGTTGATTGATATGCAGCTGAAGAAGCTGGGGACTTGGTAGGCACATGATCATTGTTTCATTGCACATTATATTAGGAATGATCTAGTCTCTATTCTCATGATGAAAATTGCCGTTAGGCTAAGCATTTTATTGACATGGTTTATTAGGTTTGCTCATCTTACTTGAATCTTATGGATGATTAATTTTATATACTTTATAAGAGTTTTAAACTTTTCTTGCTTGATATCAAACTCAGTTACTTGCATATTACAGAGTTTCCCATTGCTTTCAATTCTGGTTGATCATTGTAAACGCTTTATATGACAAAAAAAAAAAAAAAAAAACATGAATAGTTTACATTCTTCTAAGATATGTTGAGTTTCAAGGGCTTGTTTCATTTTTCGTATTGTCCACTTCTAACCAAACTTGACAGAGTGGAAATATAGAAAATACAAAAAGTATATTGAAGTCTAAAAAAAAAAGATGTTTTAGACTACCCAAAGAAAGATTCGAGAATTAAAAAAAAAAAAAAACCTTCTTTTAATCTTAGAAACCTTCCTTCAAAAAAATACAACATCGCTCCGAGCTTATGGCCATCCGAGGAATGAACACATCCTCCAACAATGGTTTCACATGCATTGAGTCTGCTAACAAGGGCATCTCTTGCTGCCATGTACTATGGTTTTGCCATTCATTATGGTTACTAGTTTGTAAATAATTCTCAATTTTGGTCTGAATAATAAATTAACAGTTCACCAAAAAAAAAAACGAAACAATTCATGATCCAGATCATGTCGATAAAAATATCAAATTCTTCATTCTTTAGTTGATAAAAATAGAAAAACTTTAAAATTTTGGTGCTTTCTTTATTTTAAACGGTTTAACATGTCCATCTCCATCACTAACTTAGTTATGTGTCTTTTGATTTTCTTGAAAAAACATTTTGTTACTTCAATACATAGGAAATTTTCAAGAAAATCAAAAGACTAACCGCATAGCCACTGTTAATTTTATACATTCTCAGTCCACCAACATTATCTTCCTTGTTTACACAACTGTCTCTGCACAAATGAATCACTGTCACCAAATTCACTACATACATCTTAATTTCTACTGGTTCTGTCTCGACCAAAGGAGCAACATACATCTAGTTATTGTTCAGTCTAATATGATAAAGTTAATTAGACTAATGTAGTCACTAAGTTTTGCATTGATTTTGTATACTGGATTAGGGTAATATTAAACATACATGACACTGTAAATTCATTATTAAGTTAGGTTCGCGCATCTCACCTGAAGCTGCATCTAATTTGGTATATTTTTCGATCCATTGAGATAACAAGGAATACACAAAAGGTATCAAATTTGATGCAGCCTCAAGTAAGCTGCAAACCTAACTTAGCGGTGAATTTCTTGTGTCAGTTATGTTTAATTTTAATCTAATCTTGTTACAAAAAAAATGCAAGGCGCAATGACTACATAAGTCTAATTAAAACTTTCTCATATTGAATGAACAATTAGATGTACTTTGCTCCTAACGTCGAGGCACAAGCAGAAGAAATCGAGATGTATGTGGTGAAAAAGTTGACAATGATTGATCGGCATAGAGACATACTTGTGTGAATAAGAAAGTAATGTTGGTGGACTCAGAATGTATGACTTTAACGGTGGACATGTGGTGAGTCTTTTCTTTTTCTTGAAAAGCTTCTACGTATTGAAATTATAATATTTTTTCCTACTAGGAATACTGTTCGTGTTGCATCTTATTGACTATAGAAAGATTCCATCAGATTATCAAGAGTGAGGACAACAAATTTAGTGATGGAGGTGGAGATGTCAAACCATTTATACAAACAAGAAACCAACGACTTTAAAGTTTTTTTTTTTAATCGACAAGAGAATGAAAATTTTGGTATCGACATGAGTTGGAGCATGGGTTGTTTCGTATTTTATTAATTGTAGAGCTGTCTCTCATTCTGTTATTTGTCTAATTCATTGGAAAAATGTGTTTTTTTCTTCAGATATTTAGAGAATTTAAGTATTTAACAACATTTTCTTGGATAACAAATATATATAAC